CTGGAGGCGGGGCGGAATCAACAGGCGAGGCGAACAGGAGCGGCCGAGGTGCGCCACACTTCGGCAGGCAGGACGTCCCAAACGGTTCACACCACGATTCAATTTCTAAGACACTGTAAATGTTGACTTGTGTGGGCCGCTCTAACCACGCTGCCATTTGCCGCCACATCGCCTCCCCCTCTCCTCCCTCCGCTCTCCCCTCAGTTCGCCCTGATTGGTGACCCAACCTTGCCGGCCCGGCCGCGCGTCCAAGATAGTGCCGCGGCGAGCGACCGCGGTGACCCCTGCGCACGGTGTAGCAGCCCGAGGCGGCTCCGGGACGCGCCCCCGCAATGCGCAGCACGTCCTCGTTTGCATGATGCGCGGTGATACTCCGGACGAGCTTTTGTGGGCCTTCACCCTTCGCCCTGCCGCCTTGCTGCGCTGGGCTTTCCCCGATACAAAAGGTTCCTCCCATCGACCCGACCTCTGCGCGGCGCTGCGCGCCTCTGCGGCATGCCGGCCGTGGTCACTGCTGGCGCACGCCGGCGCACGCGTGTGGGAGAGAGACAACCAGCCTGCGTGTTGACAAGTCGAACCCGAGGCGGTGAGGAAGACTCAGGCGCAACACGGCGCGCTTTGCTGGTGAAAACGAAAACGCTTTTCCAGGCCGCCCACGCGATGGTGTCCCGCGCGGTCGCGGGGGGGGGGGGGGCTGGAGCGGTGGGGGGAGTCACGCCACGCCCAACCGCAGGCAAGCACAACAGGTATGTGCAGTGCACGACCGCGCGGCACAAAAATCGATTATCAAATCGCCACCTTGGCGTGCGGCCGCGGCCGGGCCGGGCTAGCAGTGGACTGGCGGTGGGTGGGGGGATAAGAATCGTGGTGGCACCGGACACGCACACAACAGCACAACTTTTTCTGGCGCAAAGCGACCTGGCCTGTGGCCGTGGCCCCCAGTGCACCGCAGGGCGCCGCGCGACACCGTCCACGCGGGCCGCCGCCCTCCGCACCGCCACCGTGACCGTCGTGAACGTCGCCGTCGTCGCGCTCCAGCATGCAGGGCAGCAACGGGTCCCGGACGCCGGCCGGCGCGGCGCGCGGGGACTGGAGCCGCATGACCGTACCCTCGCCGTCGAACCCGTCGCCGCGGCAGCACCGCCGCCAGACGCAGCGCGAGCGGCGTAAGGGGGTGGTCATGCAGTACCTCACGCCCGAGTGGACGCCGCCGCCCACGCCCGCCCCCGCCGCCCCCGCCGTCTCCTCCGCGCCGCCCCTGGGGCAGCCCAGGCCGCCCCCAGTGCCCCTCAGGGGGTACCAGAGCACGGCGCAGGGCAGGTCCAGGCTGTACATGAGCAGGGTGAGCATGCCGACGAACGGGGTGGGGAGGGCGCGCTGACCTAGTGGCGGCAGCGTCGCCGCCAAGGTGACGGTGACAAATGTCTGGAAATCGTGTTTTGTTTTGCGCGTCGAACTGAAGCCAACAGCTACAACCACTTATTGGGCTCTCGGTTCGACGGGATTCGATTGCGTGGTGCTACCCATCACGGGCAGTTATTTTAGTCCGCACCACTCTAAGTAGCAGCACGAGCACCTGAACCTTTCTCTAAGTATGAATTAATTGCACAAAAAGGCACTTGAGACGCGCGACACTTGAGGAGGAAAAAAATCTCGTACACACACACACGCGCGCGCGCGCGACGGCCCGTAGATAAAGGCAGACGCGCTGCAGCCACCAATGGAAGCAGTTGCCAGGCGAGCGCACCAACACACTCGAAAGAAGCGGGTAATCGTCGGCGTAGATAAATGGGGCAGAAACCGGAACGTGGCGGCACCGACGGTGTACCGACGGTGTACCCGTATCGCGGCGGCGAGTACCCGGTACTGGTGCGGCCGGGTGCAGCACTGATGGCCGCGTCTCCTACACTCGAAAAACCTCCAAGTAAGGGAATTCGTTTGACAGTGTGGGGACGACTCTCGGCAATCCCAGCCAAAATCGCGGCGGCTGCGATTGCAGTACAGTGTGCCCGGCGGCCCGGCCTCGTCGTGGATAGCGTTTAGCGACGAATGCACAGCGAGAGACTGCAGTGCCCCCCCCTACCCCTCTTCCCCGCCCCCCTCCAGCCCGTCTCCTCACGGCCTCAAAACAACGTCGTTTTTCACAGTGGCGTGGAAGCGGCGAAGTCGAAGTGCGGCGGCCGGAGCGCCTGGCGGGTAGGCAATCGACGCGCAGCCGTGCGCGCCACGACGGCCGCCTTGCCTACCTCGCAGGCTGACACACCGTCGCCGGCGGCCGAAGCTCTCCACATCTTGCGTTATTGAGAGGTATCCACACTGGCCTTCTTTCCGAGTGGAGTTCTCCAAACCGCCCCCTACCCCCTCCCCTCCCCTCCCCAGCGGTCATGCGGCGTCAGCCGAGTCGCCGCCCTGATTTTGGAAGGCGCCGATCGGTCCTTCATTGCGATCACTCCGCCACGGCATGTGACCGGCCGGGCACGCGGTCAACTCACTCCAAACAGTCGCTCCGTCTCTGTCGCTCCGCCACGCGTCGACCCCCGAGTGCGAGAGAGACAGCGCTGATCAGCCCGGCTGGAATCGAAAATGGACCGCCATGTGATCGGGGTGATGAGCCGCGCGCCGGTCCCATGGCCGCCCCGCCGCCCCGCGAGTGCGAGAGAGACAGAGCGACCGGCATGTGATAGAAAAAGTGTCCCGCGATGCGCGATGAGGAATGGGAAGGACGTGAGTGGCCGCGTGCCGCGTCTTTTCGGCCGGCCCTCTTCCGACTCTGTCTCTCTCGCACTCGCGGGGCCCTCCGTGAGGGTGCGAGAGAGACAGAGCTGGCGGAGGTCGGCGATGCTGGTGTTTATTGCTGATTTACGGCGGGCGACGGCGGGGCTGCGGAACGACTCAACCAGCCGCCACTCGGCCGGGCCAGCGCGCCGTCTCTCTCGCACCCCCGCGAGATGGGGCACTCGTGCACGAGAGGGAGAAGGACAGACTGCACTCGGCGAGATTGCGCATCCACCACGATCCATTCATTCATTCGTCCGATCATGCAGACATTCATTCATTTTCCCCACTCGTTCATTCATTCCTTCATCGCGGCGCCGTTCGCACCTCGGCCGTGAGGATACTACGACTTTGGCCCATCGATTAGGCGGCGGGGGCGAAGGGACGCAGGGGCGCACAGTGGGCCAGAAGACCGGTGGAGGCGGCCAAAACTCCAGACGCGTTTTGAGCTCCAGAGTCACTAAATGGGCCTCGAACCGAACGTGAGACCCCACCAATGGATTCCTTGTTCGAAGAGCAATCCATTGGTGGGGTCACACGTTCGGTTCGAGTCCTGTTTAGCGACTCTGGAGCTCAAAACGCGTCTGGAGTTTTGGCCGCCTCCACCGGTCTTCTGGCCCACTGTGGGCCGGCCCACCAGGCCCACAATCGAACAGGGCGGTAATCACCACGGCCACTACTGTCTACCGCCGTCCCGCTGTCCGCGCCACGGCGCCTCCTCCACGCCCCCTCACACGCCACGCCGCCACGCCACTGGCTGGGGCCATTGTGTCACCTTGTGTCACACACACAATAAAACAACAGAGGGGTAATCGATTAGCCAGTGTGTGCGCGCCACTGTTTTTCTGCTCTGTCGCGGCCTGCGTGTGTGAGAGTCCCTCCCCTTTCCCCCGACGGTGGCACCCTCCGCTCTTTGTTGGCGCGAAAAGGAGGAGGAGATTGTTTCGATAATGGTCGATAGTGGTGCCGCCGTCGAGACAGATAGCCTAAGTGGGACGGGTTCGATGAGGCACGCCGTCTCTCTCGCACCCGTGCGCGGGCCGCCCCTCGAGCGCGAGAGAGACAGAGCGGCCCTGGCCCACACTGCTAATTGGCAGTCGCTCCCAATAGGTGCCATGTAAACACGCCGGGATGGGCCTCGCCATGGGAATATATGTCGCCGCCGCCGACTGATTCCGCGCATCGTCGCGTTGTCTCTCTCGCACTCGAGGGGCGGTCCCTACGAGTGCGTGAAGTAAGACGGCTGGCCGTCGACACGGCACCGCATGCTAAGGAGGCACCGACCCTGAGCCCTATCGGCAGCCGGCTCCGTCTCCCTCGCACTCATGGAGGGTGTGCGAGAGAGACAGAGCGACGAGGGCGCCGGGCGTAGCTGCGCGCAGCCACCGGACATGCGTTCAGATCTCCGCCCCGCCCGACAACAGAACGGTCCTGGAAAGTCCGAGTGGCAACCTTGCGACCGGCCGATGCCGGGACAGTTGGCAACCCTGCGCCAGAAGGGCCGGGGCAATGATTAACTTGCAGCGCATAAGCTTCTCCTCCATTTAGCGTGTCGCTGTCACGGCGCGGCGCGGAGGGGGCGGGGCCGGAGGGGCGGTCCAGGCGAGGGGGTCATCGCGACGGCGCGACCGCGTGACGTCCCCCAGCCCCCGCGCGCCGTGACCCCGAGTGGAGGTGTGTCACGTTCGCGTCACGCCTTCGTCACGTCGCGTCCGAGTCACGAGTCCCGGTTGCCGCGCGTCCGCCGCGTGCCTGCATGCAGTGTACTGGCACCGCGCCACCCGACCAACGACATGCACAGCCATGAGCCTGACCGCGCCTTTCCCCCGTGCGTGTGTGCGCGCGCTTTGTTGTGTGTGTGACGAACGGACAGACGGACAGACAGGGGGCGAACAGGCGGACAGAAGGGTGGTGGGGCTGCACCATGCTCTCTCTGATGAACCTGAAGCCTGTCCGCCCAATCATAGTAATTAAGTTTGATTGTTCCCAAGCAGGGAGGGGTGGGGGAAAGAGAAAGGGGGAGGGGACCACTTCTGCTCCGAGTAGAGAGAGAGATAGGCAAACCCAAAGCCCCACAATGCCGGTCTGCGGGTTCGAATCCCAGTGTGTCCACCGCAGTAACAGTTGATGACAACTTTAGCGATCCAGCATCGAAATAAAAATGGACATGAATGACAGTGGCGTTGTTGTTGTTGTTGTCTAATAACCACGTTGTTCCTCTCCAGATGAGCGCGGAGCGGAAGGTGAGCGCCCCCGCGGCCCCGCTGTCGCTGTCCGCGCCACTGTCCACGGACAGCCCGCCCGCCCTGAAGCTGCGCGGCGGCGCCCCGGACAGCAGCCCCTCGGAGGCGCGGGGGCCCGGCCGGAAGCTGTCCGGGCTGTCCGGGCTGTGCGGCGCGGACGCCGGCCGGCCGCACCAGCAGCACCAGCGGTTCACGCCGCCCACCGAGGACGACGAGGAGATGGACCTCAAGCTGGCGCAGAAGCTGGGCATCTCGGACTCGGTGTCCGACGGCCACATCTCGCCCAGCAGGACGAGGTGGGTGGTGCACTGCGAGGTGGGCTCTTCTCTCAAGTCCGGAGTTTGTTGAATCGAGTGAGTCTCGACAGACTGATTCCGAGAGTCGTTTTCGTCACTCTGTCCCTCCCGCACCCATGCGGGACGCCCCATGAGTGCGAGAGAGACAGTGACGAAAACGACCCTGCTGGCCGGGCCAAATCGATTCCCGGAGTAACTGGACTTAGCTGGCTGGAGTCCGACGGATCCACTGTCGCTTTCTTGAGAGTGGCGTGCCCTTGCTGCTTATGGACACTGTCCCCTTGAAGGTAATGGCTTGCCGGCTCGGACGCCAACTCCACCACGCCGCCGCGCCGCCGCGCTGCTGTGGGCCAAATCAGCCAATCGCCCCACTTCACTGCCGGCCTGCCGGAGTGTCTGGCTTTGAAGGCGGCGGCGTCGGATGGGCATCCCGCCTGCAGGCGGTTCGCGCCAAACACAAAGTTTGCAACCAGAAAAATAGTTCTTGAAGTAAAAATAATTCACCTACTTCAAGAAGTTTTTTCTGGGTGCAGTGCGACGAAACTACTCTTTGGAACCTCTCGACTGCCTCGATCCCAACGCCCCCCTTCCCGCTGTTGCAGCTTCAGCTCGGCCATGCACCCCGGCATCCTGAAGCACTCCGAGTACGACCTGCGGTCGCACCTCCCCGACGGCCAGGCGGCGGACGGTGCGGGGCAGCCGGCGGCGGGCACGCCCGTGACCCCCGGCAGCGTGACCAGCACGTCGCCCACCAGCCCCTTCAGCCTGGGCAGCGGCAACAGCCAGGCCAGCGAGCCGCGGCGGCGGGTGTCCATCGCCGTGCAGGACGAGCCGCCCTCCAAGAAGCTCAGCGTGGCGTCCTTCGCGTCCTCCACGCACTCCCACAAGGCCGCCGAGCTGCACCAGCAGCAGCACGCCGACGGCAAGCTTGCAGGTAGGCACTCAACCCGGACCCGGACCCAGGCCGGGCCGCCGTCTAGCGTCTAGATGTCGCCACACTGCTAGCGCGTGGAGTATCCGCAGGCCGGAGGCTAGAGAGTGCCCGTCCGTACTCCGCGCGGTCGCCCTGCGCGCGGAGTATCTGCAAGGAGACGCGTGGGTGTGGGCGATAACGTCGAGGGGTTGGGGCTGGCGGTGCCGGGGCGGCTCTGAGCCTCCGCTCAGATTCCAGACAATACTCTGTCTCTCTCACACTCATAGGGCGTCCCGGAGGGTGCGAGAGAGACAGAGGGATTGGCTACGCGGCCAAGCCCTTAGCCTTCAAGCTGACCTCGAACGGCCCTCCACCCACAGGGCACCACAGGGTCGTCTCTTCAATTCGTAACGAAGCCACCAACGGCACATCATTTATGAGGTTGAAAAGTACACGCTACCGACACTGGAATAGCCGTGGTGGGCGTCATGGCAGGCTGACCTAGCGCAGCGACCTGGGGGGTTGGTAAGGCCGGCGAACCTCGGCGAACCCGCAATATTCAGTCCCCTGCGAGAATTATTTGCACCGGGTGAGTTGCGTCACAAATCGTCATTGAGATTTTGAGCGCGCTGCACTGGCGGTTCCGTCGCTCTGTCTTTCTCGCTCTCGTGGGACGCTTCGTGCTGGCGCGAGAGAGACAGAAGGTCGAACGCTGCGCGGATCGAGTCTGCGTAAGTGCGGCCATTAGCGTTTCCGGCCCGCTGCTCCACTGCCGACGTTTGGATTCGGGGGTAAGAGGCTGCCGAGCGATTCCGAAGCGCTCTGTCTCTGTCGCACTCCTGGGGCGTCCCGTAGGGGTGCGAGAGAGACAACCATCCCTCGGTAGGATGGTCCGTCCAGGACGACGCTCTAGCTCTCCAGCAACGCGGCGTGTATATATAGCCCCGCTGATGCCGAACAGCGCTGTGTCCCTCTGTCTCTCTCGCACTCACGCCAGGGTGTCATCGGCCCGTGAGGTGCGAGAGAGACAGCCTGCCACGCTGCATGCAGGCCCGTGCCCCCTATTACCCCCTCCAAATCAGCCCACCGCCCTCGGCCTAAAAGTGGACAAAAAGGAGGGGGGGGCGAAAGTGGCCCGTGCGCCTCTGGCAAATTGATAAAGGGGCGGTGCGTGGACTTGGGAAGGCTGCGGACGCTCTGTCTCTCTCGCTCCCATGGAGCGTTCCGGACAGGTGCGAGAGAGACAGCGCGCTGCTGTCCGTCGGGCGGCGCTGCCAGGCAGCGGGATCGGGCAGGATGCACTCCGGGACAGGGGGGGGGGGGGGGGGGCGTTCTGTTGTTGACGGCGACCTACCCGGTGCAAACATGGACACAATCTGGCCGCAGCCCTCCTCTGCGGTCACGACGGGGGAGGCCCCCCCCCCCCCCTTGCCTGCGGTCTAATAAGGTAATCGGCAAACCTACTCGAGGGGTGGCCCAAATATGACCGCGTTCGCCCAGGGTGAAGGGTGTGGGCGTGAACCTCCACCTGGAGGCCTTGCCTTGGTGGACCAGCATAGAGCCCCATGAGGAATTCGACAGTGTCCGGCGTCCTGCAAGGACAGACACACACGTCAGGAGCGCGTGGCGTTGTGCATTATCACTCACTCACACAGACACACACACACACACACACACACGTAACGAGGCCGTAATAGTGCTCCAACAATGGCCCCACCTCACATGCTCTGTGCGGATAGTGTCGTTCGTCGTCTTCGCCCGTCGGGTTCCGAGAGCGCATTGCAGCAGCGCACCGCTCTAAAAACATGGCCCCGAGATGGCACTCTAAAAGTTCCGCCGCGAGAGCGCTCTGAAAAGCGCTTCAAAAGCACCAACGGCAGGCGCTTCAATTTTGCGAAATTTCGCACCGTGCAGTGTCGCATTATTATCATGCAGATGCCTCTGTATGCGCAAAATCGTGCAAATTGCTTTTTTTTTAAGGTAGAGCGTAAAATTTAAGTGTGTATCTGTGGTCGTCTGTGGGGTTTTCTCTCGTGCCTCGGGCCAAAGGAGAGGAACAAAAACGGAAGTCTGAAATATATAACGCGCTATGAGAAATATGCGCGGCGGGTGATCTGTGGGCGGCGGGCCTGGGCGGGCCGTGCGTTGTGCAAAGAGGGTGTCTGAATGGCGAGGGCTCGTAAAGCAGCGGAGTGGTCGCTCTGTCTCTCTCGCACCCCTGCGCGGCGCCCCGTGAGTGCGAGAGAGACAGAGCGACGGAGCGGCTGCAGCAGCGCCAGAGCCGCGCAACAACAACAAGCACCGCAGCCAGTAGGAGAGGCATCGCGCAAGGGTCCGCGTGCTGGCCAATGCTGGCAGTCTATGGTAGTCTCGCAGTGCAGCGGCGCACCGCGGCCACATGGACGGCTCGGACGGCCCGGACGGCCCCGACGTGCCCGAGAAGAAGAAGAAGCAGGCCAGGGTGTACTACGGGCCGCCGGTGGAGCAGACCTACGTGGAGGACAGCGAGGACGACGGCGGTAGGGTGCTGCAGGCAGTGTGGGAGACACTCTAGGGGTCGCGCCGGACTCGTCGAAGTGTGTCAGTGTGTCTGTGGGAGATGAGTAGTGTGTGACGTCATTCCTTATAACGTGGATCGTGCCCAGTTCTCTTGAACGTGACGTCACACTCGCGGACCCCCATGATGATGTACTATGTGAGGGGCGGCGTGGTGATCGCGATGAGTCGCGAAGTGTTTTTCGGATCCAGTGCAAAAGTGACCAAATAGTGAAGCAAGTTGTTTTTGTTTGGCGAAATATTTCATAAATTTACATTGGAAAACTTTAATGCACGTGCCATAACTTTTCATGGCTCCGTGCAAAATTTGTACACTGGTTGGATTTAAGGTGGCGCGGTTTTTCATACGTCATTTCGTGTCTGTGTTTCAGAAAACGGGAAAACGCCGAGCATAGTGGAAAATGGCGTCCTCAAGAAGAGATCCTTCATCGAAATCATGTACAACAAAGTCCACCCCGACAGAAATATTGAATCGTAAGTAAATGCCGTACGAGTGTCGAGTTGGGTTACCATGGCGACCGAACTTTGCCAGAAACTACAAACGCCCCAGAAGGGCCAGAAGGGTCGGGGAGGGACCACACACAGCCCGTCCGGCGCGGTGCTGCGGTGCATGCCGGGGCGCTCTCTCTCTCTCACTCTCATTGACTCGGGCCGGCGGCCTTCGAGTGCGACAGAGACAGCGCTACTCCCGCTGCCCTGATTGGATGATTAGCTCACATTTAGCCGCCTCAGTGATGCACGGTGCGCGGCATCGCCACGGTGACGTGGCTGAAAAAGGGGCGGGGAGACTTGAAAATCGGAGCGAAGCGCGTTCGGGCCACGTGGACCTCACAGCTAATGCAGGGGTGTTTCAAGCTCGGCGTCGCTCGGCCGGGGGTGGTCGACGGAGTCCGACGGGAGCGAGGACTCCACGAGGCGAGTACACCGCTCTGCTCTCTGTGTCGTGTTTGTCGGCCAGCCGATGAGGTTCTGTGTTCCACATGTCTTCACAGTGTACCACCTCCGCCCCCTCCTCTCTCTGTGACCCTGCCACTTCCCGAACCGCCAAAGTGTTCCCACGAAGAACGTATGCACGCTTCCTCGCCCTCGCCCCGCCGCGTTCCTCCACGTACAGTACACCTTTGAGCCCCTTTGAGACTCCGAGCCCCTACGAGCCCCTTGCACAGCTTTGATCTTTGATGCGGTGCAGATAGGCAACCCATCATGCGTGTATCGCCTGAACACCCTGGGAGGTAGGCAGCCCAACGTACGCCACCCGTGCAAACTGAGACGTTCCACGAGATGTGTCTGTGCTGGCAAAAAACGCACCCCTGTGACACTGAATGTTGTATGGTGCACCTCTGTGAATTTAGTACAGTGGTAAGTTTATGGCAAACACCTTAAGCCCGAGGATCGGGTGGGATTCGAACCCAGGCCGATCTCGAGAACGGCACTCCAGCCTCCGGCGCGCTAGGCCATCCGCCTCCCATCCGGAGGTTGTGTACTGCATGTGACGTGTCACCATGGAGACAAGCTATTTTTCGCGTGGCGGCGTGGCCTCGCGCCAATGGCGATGACCGCGGCCTGCTGCCCAGGCACGCCGTTGTGGCCCTGGACCACGGTGGTGCATGCTCGCCGCGGTCTTCGCTAACGGCCTCGACGGGACCCGCAGGTCGCTGGTCCAGGTTCATGCGGTTCATGGCCACCTGTTGTCAAGGATCTGTTGACACTGGGCCGAGATGGTCACGGTTCGCGCACCCTTACTGCGGGGGCGGGGCCCGGCCGGCGGCAACGTGAAGGCCTGACGGCAGCCCGACGGCTCCAGGGCTCCAGCAGCCCCCCTCCCCTCGTGCCGCCCGCCACCGAACCGCAGCCGAACTGCACGCCGCAGGCATTCTGCCATTCGGCACTCGGTTTCCGTAGGTTTCCGTGTCCTCCTGTGGCGCCCGTGGCGCCCGTGGCGCCGGTGCACCGGCCCGGGCCGGCACCATGGCACGGCGCGCCGGTCGTCCTGCCCCCGGCGCCACCGCCGCCGCCACGCCGTCCCGTCAGTGTCGTCCCCGTCAGTGGTCGGAGCCGGTCCTCCCGGTGCGCGGTGCGAGTGTTGTTGGTGTCGGCGCGGCTCCCCGTTTTCGAGACGACGGACGCGGTGCGGGTCGCGGGCCGGTCGGCCACCCCCATGGGCTTGACGGCCTCCAGTGCAGTGTAGTGTAGTGCAGGGCAGCGCGATGACAGTGGACGTGCTCGCCGCGGAGCCAGGCATGTGGCCTGTCGCCAGGTACGCGCTGCGACAGGCAGCACACGAAGGACGTCACGGAGAGGGTGTGTTTGAACGAGTGTCTCCCTCCGTCCGCAGGTCCAGCTGGTACCTGTTCTGCAAGAAGGTGCGCAAGAAGGACGAGGAGGCCGCCGCCGACGCCTGGGAGCCGGCACACTGGCAGTCCGTGTGCCCGTACCCGTTCTGCCCGACGTACCGGCAGTTCGCGCGCCTCGTGGGGCTCACCATGGTGGTGCTGCTGCTGTGGGGGTCGGCCTTCGCCGTGCTGGGGGACACACTGGCGCCCGGCGGCGACCTCTTCAGCCTGGCCGTGCTCACCGTGGCCGCGCACTTCGGCGGCTGGCTCGTCTCCCTCACCACCCTGCCCGCCCTGGTCGGCATGCTGCTCGTGGGCATCCTCTTCCAGAACGTCGGCCTGTACGGCGTCAGCGGGGACTTCGTCGAGGTGGTCAGTGTGCTCAGGTAAGGGTCAGCTTGGAGGCCTTGGGGGCCACGCCACGGCCACGCCTCGGCCGTACCGAGATAAACAGTCCGGTCTTGCCCCAGCCAGGCAGCCAGGCAGGCAGCCCGGGCGCCGATAGCCGACTTTTTCACCTCCTGCTGGACGTGCTTTCCACGTATCCACCAAATTACGTCGGCGGCGGACAACGCGAAAAAAAATCAAACTTTCAATTTTTCCAAAACAAAAACTTTGCGGTCTTACAGGAAGATCGCGCTGGTCATCATCCTGACGAGGGCGGGGCTGGACCTGGACCCGCCCGCCCTCCGGCGGCTGCTCTGCACCGTGCTCAAGATCGGCCTCATCCCCTGGGTCATCGAGTGCGTCACGGTGGCCGTCACCATGTACTTCTTCTTCGGCATGCCCTGGATCTGGGGCTTCATGCTCGGGTGAGTAAGCTGTCTGTGGCCGCGGATGAGAAATCGCCTGCTTCATTCACCGCATCGCGAAGTTCATAGAGAAGACCTTTTGGAGAGGGGAGTCTACGCTCGCACTGTAAAGACCCGTGTAATGAAAAATACCCGAAGTAAGGAAAACTCCCCCCCCCCCAAAAAAAGTACGAAATTGGCCGTCTTCAAGAGGGCCTGCGCGAAGACGAGTGGCAGGGAGAGGTACCCCAAGGACCGCAAGGGCCCCAAGGTAGGCGCGCAGGGCACCACGCAGGTAGGGCGGATTAGGGATTACAGTTTGTTTTTCTCCGCTGGGGATGTCCGAAGGGCCTTGCCTCGCCCTGCCTGGGATGGGTCTTTCCGCGTAAAACCTACGGGAAATGGCGGCAGCGTCCCTCCCTCTGCGCGCGCGCGCGCGCGCGTGTGTGTGTGTGTGTGTGTGTGTGTGTGTCTTTTCTGTCTGTCTGTCTGAGTGGTGCTAGTGTGGGTGTTTCAGTGTGAGAGTGACTGTACACCTGCGCGCATGAGAGTGTGTGTGAGTGTGAGTGTAAGCAGGCGATAATGTTGCATTCCGTGCGGCGCCACACTGTCTCCGGCGACGTCCCGTCGCTGTTCTGCGAAAAAAGAGGACGAAAGAGGCGCCAGAGAGGAAGATGGATAGATAGATTGGGCGCGACCACTCGGAATGCAGCGAGGGACGTCACGCCGTCTTTTGGCGGAGAAGCGTGTCTGCGACGGTGGCGCCAGGCCCGTCTTTACAGTGCAGTTCCCCCCCCCCCTCGCCCCGGGGAAATGCATCAGCACCCTTTGTTCCAGGAAGAATACGTGATGTATTGAATCCTCGCGCAGGAAAGGGAAAACACGTTACCTGTCCAGCGGCGGCGGCCAAGGCTCCAGCACTACGGCCACTGTGGCGCACACTGTGGCGCACACGAACCCAGACCCAGACCTTGCAGTGGCGTGGGCGCTCTGTTGTCGCTTGACGCAGCGCGGCCGGCGGATTGATTCGGAGCAGTGCTCCGTCTCTCTCGCACTCGCGGGGCGTAGCGGGGCGGCCCGCTGGGGTGCGAGGGAGACGGAGAGGCAGCCCTGCAGCGCGGGCCGCGCGTCTCTTGCCCGCTGATCTAAATTAGATTAACACGAGGGGGAGGTGGGGGCGGCAGGCGACAACAGACATGCAATGTCAAACTTGTCGGCGACGCGGCGACACGCAAAGGGCCAATAGTACGTTTCCGGAAGTGTCGCCCTACCGGGTTGCCCCGGCGCTCGCGGGTGCGGCTGTGGCAAGTCTCTCGGCTCCGCCGCGGAGCAGGGTATAGTAGCAGCGAAGAGTCGGATCTGTCCCGCCGTTTCGGCCACACTCATGACTCACATGGGCGTCCCAGGTGTGCGAGGGAGACAGAGCGACGGATGGCAGTGCGGTGGCGCGGCCATGAGAGCCAGTACGTACATACGCCCGAAAAGTCCGCCGCGCTCGGCTTGTGACACACGAAAACGAAAATTGCATCGCATCTCTGCTGTGGCGGGCCGGGCGGGCCGGGCGGGCCGGTTATGCCCGGGCCATGCCCGCCTAGCCCGGCTGTGCCCGGCCGTGCCGAGAGTGTAGCGGCAGCGCATCGGCCGCGATGCCAACGATGGGGCGCCGCGAATTAGCCGCTTCCGGCCGCTCTCCGTCTCTCTCGCACCCCCACGGCCCTGCGGCCCGGCCCGCGAGAGCGAGAGAGACAGAGAGGCCGGCGGAGTGATTAGGCGGCGAAGCGGCGAACGGCCGAGGCTGAGATAGAGTGTAGCCGCACGTTGCGACGCTTCCAACCGGCCGGGCATTCACTGGAAAAATGACACATTTCGTGCCTGTTAAAAACGGGGCTGTCGGGGGCTGTAAGATTGCCTGGCGGAATCCTCTTTATTCTGCCGGCCAAAAAAAAAAGTTCCCCATGTGGTACTCGAACCCGAGATTTTCTCTCCGAGCGCCGAGTCGCTAACCACTCGGCTACCGTGTTGCAGGTCTGCGGTGGCGGCCGTGAGTCCCGCGGTGACGGTGTCCTGCCTGTTCCGGCTGCGCGCTAAGGGCTACGGCACTGCCAAGGGCATCCCCACGCTCATCATCGCCATCTCCGGCATCGACGACGCCGTGTCCGTGGCGGGCTTCGGCATCATCAGCAGCATCTTGTTCTCGCACGGTGAGTGAGCGACACAACAAGCCCCGAAAATCAGACATCGTTTTCGCGCATATGTACTTCTCACAGATTTGCTATTTCTGGCTTCCGTTGTCGCTCTCCTCACTTCCGCTTCGGCGGACGTGGCCGGCGCGCTCTGTCTCTCTCGCACTCATGGTGCGCCCCGAGCGGGTGCGAGAGAGACAGGTTGCCGTGCCTCGCAGTGTTTTGGGCGGCGTTATTCCGCTAATGGCGCGGACTCAACTCGCTCTGTCTCTGTTGCTGTTCAGACTCGCTGCTGTACCAAATCATCCAGGGGCCCCTGTCCGTCGTCATGGGCCTGGGCTTCGGGGTGCTGTGGGGCATCCTGGCCAAGTACGTCCCCGAGCGGAACGACGTAAGTGACTTTGGCTCAACGCCGGAAGGAGGGCGGCCGGCGCCCCAGTTCGGCGGCGTCCCAGGGAGAACGACTGTTGGGGTGGTTCTGCACGCGACCCGCCGATAACACTGTCCTCTTTACTCCGCAGCCCTTCGTGGTGCCCCTCCGCGTCCTCATGCTGTTCGGCGGCGGCCTCATCGCCGTCCTGGGCTCCGAGGCCATCGGCCTGGGCGGCGCCGGACCCCTGGCCGTCGTGGCGGCCGCCTTCGTCTCGTGCTACTCCTGGACGCAGCAGGGCTGGGAGGTTGACGACGTGAGTACCCGGGTTCGCGACCCGCCCGATCCCTTTCTGTCTATCAAAGAGAAAAAATGACAAAACGCCTTTTATCGCACAGAACCCCGTGGCCACTGCGTTCGAGATCTTCTGGATGATCTTCGAGCCCATCCTGTTCGGCCTGACGGGCACCATGATCAAAATCGACCAGCTGGACCCGCACACTGTGGGCCTGGTCGCCGGCTGCCTGTTCATCGGATTTGTGGTGAGATGGGGATGGAACCTGACCTTGCTAACTGTGGCTCGTTGACGGGGGCGACCCTGGCGACCAAGCTTTGCTGCTGGAAACTTGACACTTTGATTCGGTCCTCAGATTCGCATCGGAAGCACCATCCCGATCGCCTACAAGAGCGGGCTCAACACCAAGGAGAAGGTGTTCGTGTCGCTGTCGCTGATGGCCAAGGCCACGGTGCAGGCCGCGCTGTGCACGGTGCCGCTGGACCTGATGCGCGAGGGCCAGGCCGAGGGCAGCGGGCAGGCCGAGGGGCAGGCCGCCGGCCACTCGGAGACCCGCGGCCACGCCGAGCTCTTCCTCACCACGTGCGTCGTGTCCATCCTGCTGACGGCGCCGACCATCGCCATCCTGATGACGCTGCTCGGGCCGCGCCTGCTCACCAAGACCGCCGTGGACCCCGAGTTCCCGGAGAACTGGCGGCGGCACACGCGGCCCTCGCTGCGCGACATCTCCATCATCGACGAGGGCGACGAGGACGACGACGACAACCTGGGCAAGCTGTCGCGGCGGTCGTCGCGCCGCCAGTCGGCGTCCATCAAGGACAAGGACAGCGCCAAGTACGACGTCCGCAGCGACTCGACCACCGCCGCCCCGGTGGCCCTCAACACCACCTCCGTGCCGTGAGCGCGGCGGCGGTGGACCTTAAGGCTGATCCCGCTAGGCCGCTCCCAATAGACACTCTTGCCGAGCGATCCCGAAGTCTCGTTTCGTCGCTGTCTCTCTCGCACCCCGACGGGACGACCCGCGAGTGCGACAGGGCCAGGGCGACGAAACGACTGTTCGGTATCAGTCTGCTGTCCGGTAACATGGCCGCGGTCATGCGTGTATCGATGTTAATGAAAGACTCTTGGGCGAGATCGCCGAATCAAGTTTCCAACCTGAAGACTCATTAATTGTTGTCGACGTGAGACTAGTATAGTCGAAATCCTAAGATTTTGACGAGCCCCTGAAGTTCTGGGACACAATGACTTTTCCAGTCTTGAATTTGGGAGATGTTGTAGACCGACCTGTGCTATCCAGAATGTTTCTTGGTGTAAATAAGAAGTAAAAAGGCTCAAAACTACGAGGTACTATCACACAGAAAAAAAGGGTACTAGAAATATATTTTTAAAAAACTGTTTATCTGTAGCAGTTTTCTGCAACTGACAAAGTTTGTTGTGTAACCGCCATTCATAATCTAGACAGCGTTTATTTTGTAATTGGTTCCAGCAGAGGTTTGAGTCCCTCTCTGGCGTCCTTCGAGTGTGCCTTCAAATGTGATAGTACTTAACACTGTTGTAATTTAAATGACATAATAAGTGAACTAAAAGGCAATAGATTATAAAGATTTCCAAGGTGCTAAAACTTGTTGGGACGTGGTTCCCGTGTTTCTGCAGTCCGACTTCTGCTCGGAATCCTGATGTCTTTAGCCATTAACATATCTTCCGAAATGTGATACCTTGGTGGATTGTGTTAGGTAAGGCATTGCTGCTTCATTCCAGTACCAAAATGGTGCCAATGTGATGCTCTATTTTTCTTTCCTTGTTGTTTAACATTAGAAGAGTTTTTGAAAACCACGAGGTGATAATTTAAAACACACCGTTTATTATATAGTATTAATGTCTGTAAATAACCGTCAACGTATTTTATGTCGAGGTTTTAGCGAATGAGAGGACCAAGAATTGGAAACCAGTGAGTGCCTTTTCAGTGTTTGACGTAGTGATATGAAATTCATCAATCAGTCGTTAGCAAGCGCTGACAGCTACATTTTCTTATAATACTCATCCACTCATAATTTGTTTGTAGTTTTAGCGAAGTGTATTTGGATGTTTTGTGCCAATTTTACATGTATATTTACTATGTATTTTAAGGACGGATATGATCTGCGAGTATTCTGATTGTAGTCTCGTTCCCCAGTGGACCGTACATGAAATGTACCTTAATTTAATAATAAAGTTAACATTATAGTTTTATTCTTCACGCTTGTTCTTTTATCGCTAGAGTGGGCTGGCGCCATTCGCATAGGCAACCCAACCGACGCAGGCAAGGTCGCAGGCTCTAGCGAAAGAGGCGCCCGCGGGCAGGCAACCCAACTTGCACGCCTCGAGCAAGGAGGGGGCGAAGAGTTGAGGCCCCGGAGCGTAGAGGGTGCGGGCGAAGCTGTACCGCGAACGGAGGGGTGTGATGACGGCTGAGGACATTGACTGTCTTTGACGTCTTGTCATCACGGTGCTAGCCTTATCATCCAGCTTGCAAAACGGTTACCCTCTACTCTGCCGTCCGTCGTGACGGAAATTCACTCTTCCAGCCCATTTCTGAGCGGGTAGCTTCGTTGTTTGGCGTACCCGAGTATACTCTTTCTCTCTCGCGCACACACATGCGCCCATCCCGGCACACCAGCCCGCCCCGCGCGAGCCGAACGGCCGAAGGCGCGGAGCGTTCCACAGTCGAATCCGAGTAAGCTTGCACCGCCCAGCATCCGGGTGGACCTCGCGCTCGCGCCTGCAGTCGAGTATGGCTGCGCGGGAGAGAGATACCGCCGCGGTGCAGGCCTCGCGAACTCGGCTCACTGCGAACAGTGCTCTGTCTCTCTCGCACGCCTTTCGCACCGCGTCTAGAGAGAGACAGAGCGACGGAGGCCTGAGTCATCCTGCCGCTCAGCACGGCCCCGCGCCGCGCTCCCTGTCCAGGCTTTGAACAGGCACCGAGGCCGGCGGCCTGGCCTGGCGGGGCGTAGAGGCCAGGCCGCGCTCAGTTTGCCGAACTGATAGAAGGGTTCGGCCGGGCGCGGCACGGCATGGCACGGCACGGCGCGGTGGACGCCCCGGGCTAGCGATTTCCTGCCACACCGTCCCGAGCCTCGGGCCGCAGAACGCGCACAACGCGCAGGACGCGCACCACTCGCCCGAACCGCGGCGGAGCGGACGCAGTGATACTCCTGGCGCCTCGCTCACCGCCTCGCAGCGCCACTGCCCGCGCGTCCGCGAAGTCGATCCGGGAGCACCGCCAGCGCCGGGGCGAGGGTTCGAATCCCAAGTCATCTGTGTGGTTTTTCTCGATGTGAAAAGTGTTGTGTGAGTGCGGCCAAAGGAGACCATTTTGGATTACACATGAAGAGAGCGCGGCACAGCTAAAGGATTACCAAAGATTTTCGAGTCGGTAAGTTCACCCAGCCCCAGCACGCGCTATGGGAGTCTCAGCATGGCCTCGCGAACGCTCGGAAGGAACGCTAAGTCAACAGACCTCAGGTCAAGCTCCGGACTCCGGACCCAATGCGGAAAAGGCAAACCTGGAGGTCGGAAAGGGACACCACAAAAAAGCTCGTAGAACAATTTTAAAATTTTTCATTATTCTGAGAAACCCTATTTCTGGAGATTAATTAACCGCAGCCAAAAAAAAAAAAAATGGCTCGCCATGACTGTTTTTGCAGTGTGCCCGTCCGCGGAACACGCAGCGTGTCGCACATATGCGTTGGTGCCATTCGCTGCGATAAGGGAAGTCCCACTAAGCCCCGCGCAGCGCGTAGCCCTGCGTAGCTTTTACAGTGCGTCGCACACGCGTACAGCGTCGCGCGGTGGTGTCTGCCGTCACACCTCGCCCGACAGTCTGACAACAGTCCGCCGCCGAGGTTATGCCCATTAGGTTTTGCCCAGTCCCGCGCTTCCAGCAGTCTTCCCGTCCGTCCGTCCGTCCATCTGTCTGTCTGCTGTCCGTCCGCCGCGGTTCCTGGCAGACAATTTGCGCCTCAATTAGAAGTCGAAGTGTCCGTTCACCACGTGGGGAGGCGTGTGGCCGAGCGGCCAGGCGGACCGCGTCCCGCTCCCGCAACGACGTGGACGTGGGTTCGATTCCCGCTGGGGCGCCCTTTTTCCTTGACGCGAGTCCCTGAGCCCCCTGTCCTGTCGGTGTCTTTTTATACCCGCTCCTCGTTGGCGGCGATCAAACTCGATATCTTACTGCAAACAGGCGACAGGCCGTCTGCGCGCGGTGCTGCGCGGGCCGCAGGACGAAGGACCCGTCCTATTTACAGAGGCGCCGCCAGAACGCCACTCCCAGTGGCCCGTCAATAAGTATACACCGCTGCGATTCCGCGCAGCGCCTGTCTCTCTCGCACTCACGGCGCGGCCCGCAGAGGTGCGAGAGAGACAGAGCGACGGAACGCGCTGATCGGCCGGACGGGCGCGGCGCGGCTCGGTGCCGGAAGGCCCGCGGTATCTAGGTGCCAATCGCCAATCGGACGGATTATTGATGAATCACGGATTGGCCAACTAATTGGCCGGCCGCCGTGACGGCGGCTTCGTAGAACCATTCTGTGGAACCACTGTGTTTCATTTGAGACGCCCCGACGATCCTCCTCTTCTGTTCTGCCGCCCTTCCGAGGACCGCGCCCGCTGCGTGTCCTGCACGCTGCCTCCGAGCGAGAGGGCTCTCTCTTGCACTCGTGGGGCGAGACTGGCCGACAGCAGCCCCCGTTCGGAATCAGTCCGCAGTCCTGACGTGGGGCCTGCGGGGCCTTGGTGCGGTTCGTGGACCACGCGAGGGTCATTGTCGGCTTCTCGCAACGCGGGGGCGGCGGGGGCGGAGGGGGCGGTACTCGGAAGGGCGCCCTTGGGCCTGCAGAACAAGCAAGCAGTCCGCGGACAGGGGGCGTCTTTTAATCACAAACGAATGGACTTTGTCGGGAGTTTGGGCCCGATCCTGGCGGTCATTTCGTAGCGGTTCTCATCTGTGCTTCTCAACCCCTGCTTGCAGCCCCGCCCCGCGGCCGCCATGCAGCCCCGCGAGTAGTGGGGGCCTGGCCACCCCTTCCGTCGTCGCCGCCACGCGCCGCCACGCCCCGCGCCGCAGCTGTCAGCATCACGGCCTGCACGGCCTGCTCCGCCGCCCCTGGCGCCCACAAAGGCGGCACACAAGGCTGCGGCGGTGGGGGCGGAGGGGGCGGCGTGGCGGGGCGCGGCGCCGCGGAGAAGCAACAGCTGCTCCACCCTGGTCCGCCCTGCCGCTGCCCCGCCCCCGCCCTGGCGGCGAGCCTGGCCGTCCTGGCGGCCAGTGCGCGCGCTTCGCGGTGTGGCGACGCGGGCCGTGGACTCGCGTCCAGGGCGAGCAGGGCGTCGAGGCCGACGGCCGGCATGGCGGGCGCCGCGCTCCTGTCGCTACTGCTGCTGCCGCTGGTCGCGGGCCTCGAGGACCTCACCGACGTCGAGGTGTTCGCTAACTTGACGGAGGACGCCACCGCGGCCGTGGCCCCCGAGCCGCCGCCGCCGACCACCAGCGCGCGGAAGTGCTGCCCGCCGGGGCTGAGCATGTACCGTGTCAACGCGCCCGGCTGCGACAACCAGGTCACCTGCAAGATCCCGGACGACGGCGACGACGCCTCCGGCTCCTCCATCCTGTGGTCGCTGCAGGCGGGCGCGGCCGCGGGGGAGTACGGCTTCCCGACGGCGTGCCCCCGCGAGCGCTGCCACCTCGTGCTGCTCGGCAACGCCTCGCACCCCGCCCAGCACCCCGACGAGCCCCACTGCGTGGACAAGCTGGTGGAGACGGACCACAGCGGGCAGATGCTGCGGCAGGTCATGGCCGGCATGGCCTGCATCAAGGGGGCGGAGTTCGGTAAGCCCGCCGGGCCCGCCAAGCCCGCCAGGCCCATCTGGGTGCGGCTGCGAGTTGTTTTTGTTTTGTTTTGTGTGTGGCAAGGTCAATGAGGTTTGTGATACCGACGCTAAAATAGGCTTCGGAAAACAAAATGGCAGAGAAAATCTAAAACAAAATGCTCAGACAAAATGCAAAAACAAGTCTCGCGGCCAGAGCGCCTTGCTGGGTAGGCCGTCCCGTTACACTGTGGTGCATGGCCGTGCCCGGGATTGCCTACCCCGCAGGCGCTTTCCGGAGCGCGCGCGGCGTGCGAATGCTGAATCTCTCCAGAGGCCCTCCGAGGGCCAGATACGTTGACGACACTGTAACCTTCCTCCCGGTGGCAGGCTACGACGTGGGCAGGAGTGCGGACTCCGGCGGAGCCCAAGCAGGCCGTCTGCGCGCGTCGTCGCCCTTCCCCGGGGTGCCCGTCGTGGCGTTCCGCAAGTGCTGTCCGCTGCACCAGTCCTACGACCTGGTGACGCGCATGTGCACGGACAGCGAGGGCGCGGCGGAGGACGCCGAGGACGCCGACGAGGCCTCGACGACGCTGCCCGGCATCGTGCTGCCGGCCGACTACCGGCGGCGCTCCGTGTCCGCGCTGCTGGCCCGGGTGTTCGACAAGAACCTCACCGCGCTCGTGGACATGAGCGTCGGGCTGCCGGACTGCGAGCGGCCGCGCGGCCCCCTGGCCGAGCAAGAGGAGGACGAGGACAGCAGGCGCAGCTACGACAACATGGTGAGGACGCCGACGTGGCGGTGCTGGGGGAAGCCCGGGGGAAGTCTGACTCCAGCGTGGTGCTGCAGGCCCTGCTGGACGTGGCGGTGTTCGAGCTGCCCTGGGACGAGCACCTGGTGGACGCGCAGGGCATGGCGACGGTGAGGCCCACGCCACTGCGTTCGGCCGCCGAGGACGTGGAGGCCATGGCCGTGGAGGACGACGGCCCCACGCTGCGGCTGCGGCCCGGCGACTACTGCGTGGACGAGGCCCTGGGCGGCGCGCAGGCCGGCGTCGCGGACGGCAAGGGGGCCAAGGAGGGCGCGCTGGTGGTGAAAGCGTGCCTGTCCAGCGCGGACGCCACCCACGCCAAGGTGTGCCGCCGCTTCGGCTGCTTCCGGAAATGCTGCGCGCACCACGAGTACTTCGCGCTGTCGCACGGCTGCGTGCCCCGGCCGGACGGCGGCCCGCTGCGACCGCAGGTTAGTTCAGCGGTTCTCAACCTTTCTCGGCTCGCGACCCCAAATTTGTAGCCAAAAATTTCCGCGACCCCCAGGAAAAGTTTCGCGACCCCACGGGACCCCTCCTTTAGCATGCCACTGCGTCTGATCCGAGGCGGGCATTTTGCTCCCTCAACGGGCAATTGGTCTTTGGACCTTCCTTTAGCATGCCTCTGTTACGGAAAGCGATTATCAGTCTTAGTTTGGGAGCAGTATTGTCTCAAAGTTAGCCAAAACGCTCAGAAATGTCTTAAAAAATCATGTTTTGGGTCGATTTTAAGCAGCCACTGCGTCTGATCCGAGGCGGGCATTTTGCTCCCTCAACGGGCAATTGGTCTTTGGACCTTCCTTTAGCATGCCTCTGTTACGGAGTGCGATTATCAGTCTTAGTTTGGGAGCAGTATTGTCTCAAAGTTGGCCAAAACGCTCAGAAATGTCTAAAAAAAATCATGTTTTGGGTCGATTTTAAGCAGCTACTGCGTCTGATCCGAGGCGGGCATTTTGCTCCCTCAACGGGCAATTGTTCTTTGGACCTTCCTTTAGCATGCCTCTGTTACGGAATGCGATTATCAGTCTTAGTTTGGGAGCAGTATTGTCTCAAAGTTGACCAAAACAGGCACAACGATTTTTCAAAGACATTTCTGAGCGTTTCGGCCAACTTTGAGACAATACTGCTCCCAAACTAAGACTGATAATCACACTCCGTAACAAAGGCATGCTAAAAGAAGGTCCAAAGACCAATTGCCCGTTGAAGGAGGACGAAATACCGCCTCGGGTCAGACGCAGTGGCTGCTTAAAATAGGCCCAAAACACGATTTTTCAAAGACATTTCTGACCGTTTTGGTAAACTTTGAGACAATACTGCTCCCAAACTAAGACTGATAATCGCACTCCGTAACAAAGGCATGCTAAAGGAAGGTCCAAAGACCAATTGCCCGTTGAGGGAGCAAAATGCCCGCCTCGGATCAGACGCCGTGGCTGCTTAAAATCGGCCCAAAACACGACCCCAGCTACCTCGCCGCGACCCCTTAAAATTTTTTCGCGACCCCAAGTTGAGAACCACTGGGTTAGTTACACTTAAGCCCCAAAATCTCTCCGAACAGTTGCAAACTAAACGAAAAACTCTCACTCCTCCAGGTGCACGACCCGCCGCCGCCGTTCAACCTCAACATGTCGGAGGGCTACAGGGAGCAGACGGCGGCCGAGCTGGTGGCCGCGGCCCAGGAGCGCTACCACCGCGACCAGCGGCCGCAGCAGGTCACCTTCTCGTCCGTCGTGGACAACGTGTGCCCCGACAACCGCTACGACCTGGACGAGACGGACGAGTGGTTCATGGACCGCTTCGGCACGCTGTACCACACCGGGTGGCGCGAGATCGCCACCACCGTGTACTGCATGGACGACCAGGAGTCCGTGGTGCCCGGCGTCTACAACGTCACCGTGCTCGTGTGCTTCGCGGACGAGCCGCTCAAGGTTTGCCGGCACACCAAGTCAAACAAGAAGCTATTGTCGATGACTATCAGATTTTTAGTGTATTTTGTGTGAGATTTTGCACCTCATCCAGTGTACTGCCTGCTTGCTCCTGCAGCTGGAGGAGGGCGGCCGGCTGCTGGCCATCGCGGTGGGGCTGCTCATCTCGTGCATGTTCCTGGCCGCCACCCTGGCCACCTACTGCTGCCTGCCCGCGCTGCAGAACCTGCACGGCAAGACCCTCATGTGTCACGTGTCGAGCCTGCTCGTGGCCTACCTGTGCCTCGCCATGACGCAGCTCTTCACGTGGCGCTTCGCCGAGAAGGACGACTACCTCTGCTCCATCATCGGTACGCAGCACTACGCAGTGCGCTGCGAGGCGGAACCGCTCGGACCTCTCACTCGCACTCACGCACTAGACGTCACGCCGTCTCTCTCTAGCCGGGCCCCGTCTCTGATTGATCAATTTTTCATCAAGAACAATACCTGCTCTATCGTTAAAATTATTGATGACTTCTGTTTTATCAATGACGAGGAGATCTCGGGTCTTCACCAAAGATGAACACTCCCACAATCTAAAAACAAAAACAAAATAAACGTAAAGTTTTTTTTTTTTTTTTTTGCGTTTTGTTCGTCTGTTCTTACTAAAGACTAAAGATTAATCGGATAGCCGAGGCGAAGACGACGCGAACGAAAAGGGCGCACCGTTTATACACGGTAAACACTCCCTCCGAGATCAGATCGAGTCTAAACTTAGAGATAGAGAGCGCGCGCGAGCTAGCGCGTGTGTCTGTATCAGTGGCGATTTTACAAGGCTAACCTTTTTATATTGCGTTTTTACTATCGTGAGTGGGCGAAAACTGGCAGGTCTTTCGCAGCCTCGCCTCTCAGTTTTAAGTGCGTGTGTGTGTGTGTGTGTCAGCAAAGGGGTGTGTGTGAGAGTTTTTTTTGTGTGTTTTTTTTTTGGGGGGGGGGGAGGGTTGCTTACGCACTTTTGCCTGGGCTGATCAGTATGCATGCTGAAGGTGACAAGAATATAGAGCGCGATTTATCGAGACGAGAATATTTTCACTCTTTGAATTCTAATTCGACGCGAACCCTTGTTGGAGTACGGCGTTTGGCCGAAGTCGAGCACCGTGTCAGTGCCCCCCCCCCTTTTCCCCCCTTCCCCCGCTATTTGGGGTCGGCCGATTGTTTACACTTCGGCGAGGTGGGGTGTAAACGCGTGTGGCTTCTTGGAGTAGATCCATGTGTACAACAGTTCTTTGTGTCGATTTGTAATGCACTTTGCGCCCTGCTGGGTAAAATCGCGCGTCTCACTGAAATAGCGACAAGATATAAAAAAATCTCATTCAACGAACGTTAATGAAAGCAGATGATCCGTCGCATTTCACATCTGCTGTGATAGCCGAGAGGTTAGAGACGTGGGATCGAGTTACCGTGGGCGGGCGTTCGAATACCAGCGTCACATACGTTTTTTCGACTTACTATCCTAAGGGTGGTGGTTCGAGGCCATCCGAGCGGAGCCGTGTGCAACAGACCCACATGCCGGAGGTTCGACTCCTAACAAATATTTCCATTTAATTTTACTGCCTCACCCAGTGCGGTTGAAACCCGTGAACGTGAGCCCACTCCATGCATGGGATGTGGTGGTCCAGGGAGTAGAGGCGTCGGTTCCCAATGATGGTGTCGGCGGTTCGACTCCCCCAACTTCTTGCGAAATTTTGACCGGGTCGGTCGAGTCCTGTTGCGTCAAGAACCCACCTCACGCCGATCCCCTCATCATGGGCCGTGGTGGCCGAGAGCGTAAAGTCGTGTGATCCCGATGGCGGGGTCCGGGGATCGAATCCCATCATTTCATTACATTTTTCGACCGCCTTCCTCCCACTGCAACTCAAACCCGTCGTCCAACACGCTGCCAGACGTACAAGCGTGATAGCGTAGTGGTCAGAGTCACATTCACCTGGCCCCTCCGCTGTGGGTGTCTAAAAAGCAATCCGCTTCGGCGGGTTGGCCTCGGCACTGGAGCGATGGAGTATTTGATCCATCAATCCAGACCATCCGGTGTGTGGTTGCGGATGGTGCCTCCTTGACTCGTCGGGGAGGCGATGATAAGTCCTTTGAAGCTGGCCTAAAACGCTGTATGTTCGGTACGGGAGCGCCGGACAGTGGGGGTACCATGGGGTACACAACCAACCCTACGAAAACAAGAAGCTCCCACCAAACCTCTTCTCTGTCTGAGTCTCTCTCTGTCTCTCTGTCGTCTCACTCTACGTCCCGCCCCTCAAAGAGCTTCGTACTGGGTGCTCTCACCCAGCTGCCTGAGCTTTGGGGTCCTACTGGGTCCCCCGGCGAACGCTTGGGTCGCTGACGGGATTAACCCCAGGTACCTGATAGCACCGGTTCCCATCCCGAACACCGAAGTAAAGCAGGAGGCCTCCCCATTAAGACTGGGGAGGGGGTGTAGAGCTCAATTTTTTTTTATTTTCCCTTTCAAATTTCTCGGTTAATACTTGTTTCTGGACTCGAGAGTAAAAGCACGCTGACACCTTCATGTGTATAGTAGTTTTAAGTATGTTTCAAGTGTGAGGGTATCATCTGCTAAAAAATCATATCTAAAAATTTAAGTGTTTTTACATAATTACGTTTTATTTTAAAATTTTTGTCTATCTATTTTTCAACAGAATATTTGTCTGTTTTGCCTGTTTCAGGTTACGTCGTTCTGTTCACGTTCCTCTCGGCGTTCTCGTGGCTCAACGTCATGTGCTTCGACATTTGGAGAACGTTCGGGTGAGCAATCAGAGGGATAAAGAGAGAGAGGGAAGGAAGAGGGAAGGAAGAGGGAAGGAAGAGGGAGGGGAGTGGAGCTCAATGAGACAAACCCCTTAGGTCTCTGCGATACCGCTCGGACCGGCTCGGACGCACCACGCACCGGCACCGGCGTCGTGGGGTTGCCTTCCCCCTCCCCTCCCCCCTTCTCGACCTCATCGTCCTAATAGTTGTCGCCCCTCTCCGCCCTGGACGTGGCCGCGCGGCCGGCCTTGAGGGCGCAGGGCGTGGACGCGACGATGGCACGAATGCTCTCTCCGAAATGACGCGCCACCTGGAAATACAATGTCGACTTCCTGGCACTCATGAGTGGGAGCATGTTCCCGCGCATTTGCCGGTGTAGTTTACAGCGGCATTTGTCAGTGCGGTGGACAGCGGGTCGTCGTGGAGTCCCGGGCACACTGTTTTTAACAACGGGGTGCTTCCTCTGGAGTGTGGTGGTCCTGGATCCTCCCCCGCGACGACTGACAGCCTTTCTGTGCCGAGACTCGTCTGCCTCGGCGCCGCATTCGTGGAACTGCAGACTGAGAGTCGTTTTCGTCGCTCTGTCTCTCTCGCACTCATGGGCCAAGTCCGGAGAAGCGAAGCGTGCTAAATCTGAACCGCGGTTTGAAGCCATCCCTCCGCGCCTCCTCCTTTTCCACTCTCTTCAGTCTTTTTGCAGTGCAGGGCGCTGACCGTCCGCGCGACGTGAGTGCAGACAAATGGCAGTTGACAAATGAACGGCATTAGGACGAGCAGCGATAAGGGTGGCGTTGAAGGGTTGGGCGGGGAGGGAGGGGGAGGGGGGAGAGGGGGGGGGAGAGGGGGAGGGGAGAGGGGGAGGGGAACCCCGAGACAGCACTGTGCTATCACTTGGCCGTGCTCAACGCAGCTCAATGTTGGTCCTTGTGCACCCCCTCCCTCCCTTTTCCCTTGGCCTTTGGCCGCAACAGGCGTGCGCACACACGCACACGTCCGCAATCACACACACGCACACACACACACACACACACACACACACAGAGCCAAACACGAGCCAGATAACCCCATCCTTCCAGCTGTTGCCCGATAAAAAAAAGAAAATAAAAAATACTCGCGCGGGATTCGACAACGTGGTCGCTGCGAAGGGACACTGGGTCGCCTTGCTGCCGTAGGGCTGCCGCAGGGCTGGCGGCATGCCCCCCAGGAAGGCCGGCCCTTCGTCCTTGGAGCCCATAACGCCGAAGCACAACGAGGCGACACGCTGGGCGGCCGGGCGCCGAGGGGCCCTCGGTGAAGGAGAAGGACCCCACGGCGAAGGACCCCTCATGAGCACGAGCAACGACACGCGAGTAATTGACCCAAATGGCCCGTTTAGCTTACCTGCGGGGCTGATTCCGAACGGGGATCGCTCTGTCCCTCTCGCACTCATGGGGCGAAGGGTGCGAGAGGGACAGAGAGGCGTAGCTGGCCAGCCTGACGGCGCGCTTCGGCAAGCGGCGGAGCGGCGGTGCGCTACCTGGGCGGTACACTAGTACACACCGGATCCCGCTGGCCTGCCGTCGGCCCGGCCGCCGTCAGCCCTAGACGCCCTAGAGACCGCCTCGACGCCCTAAATCAACTCATTAACGAAATTCGCGCCCTGCCCCGCCTGCCACGCCCAGAACGTGGGCCCGAAGTCGTCGCGGAAGCACACAAACAAGGAACAGTCGGCCACCGCGCCGCGCGAAATAATCGAGGACGCTGTCTTCGAGTTCAATTCGATCAATCGGTTTTTCCGGTGCGCTTAATTTTTCCAGAGGATTTAATGAAGGCGCTGCGAGCGAGACAGAGTCAACCCTTCCGCGCAGCGCGTTCCTTCCGCGCCGTTGGGTTTTGCCCGCGCCCTATCACCTGAGCCCTCTCCCACCCCTTCTACCCCCGCGACGAATGTCACTCTACTTCACGGGTCACACCTCATTTGCACGACTCGACGTGTTCCCCAAGTGTTGTTGCTGATGTTGTTGTTGTTGTTCCGCAGGGGCATGACGTCGTCGCGGGCCATCAAGAGGTCCAGCGCGTCGCGGCGCTTCCGCTGGTACTGCGCGTACGCGTGGGGCTTGTCCAGCGGCATCCTGGCGGCGTGCGTGGCCGTGGACCAGTGGCCCGGCAACGACAAGAGCCTCTTCCGGCCGCAGATGGGCGACGGCTCCTGCTGGTTCCGCACCGAGTCGTCGGGGCCCATCTGGGAGAAATGTACGTGTATTCTTTTGCAGTGTTTTAAATTGGTTGGATTGGTATGATTGGTATGTTTGAATCCACAGCCTACGCGCTGCTGATCTTCTTCGTGGGCCCGCTGATGGTGCAGACGTGCTCCAACCTGGTGCTGTTCGTGCTCACCGTCAAGAACTACTCGCACATCAAGAGTGAGATCAGCAGGCTGCACCAGGCGCCCAACTCGAGCAAGGTCAAGAAGTTCCAGGCCGACTCCAACAAGTAAGTATTCCACCACAAGGAGGCCATCCCCACGATGCACCAGAGTCGTGAGGTGAGGTTAGGTTAGGTAAGGTTAGGTTAGGCGGGGCAACCGTTTCGACCCTGGTGCATCGTGACTCTTTTGTTTTGTTTTGCCGGCGTGCCGACACTGAGCGCCTCCCCTCTCGCTGTTGCAGGCTCAAGATGAACGCCAAGCTGTTCGTGGTGATGGGGGTGACGTGGGTGCTGGAGATCGTGTCCACCTTCTTCCCGCACGAGCACGCCGTGTTCTACCTGTCGGACGCGGCCAACGCGCTGCAGGGCGTCATGATCTTCGCCATCTTCGTGCTCAAGCGCAAGGTGATGCGGGCGCTGGCGGTGCGGCTGGGCCGCGCGCCGCCGCCGCCGGCCTACTCCACCAACCCGTCCATCCAGACGGACTGCCGCCTGCACCTGGCCGTCCGCGGCAAGACCACCAGCACCAACACGCTCTTCTCGTCCGACTACCGGAACAGCTCCTCCGTGCGCAACGCCGAACTGTAGAGCAAGTCCACTGGGAATCGTTGTCGAAACGGAGGACTGAGTCGCCCTGCTGGCTGCCGGTGACCCAGGCGGCCCCTCTCTGCGCGGCGGGCAAACTCAGCGCGCGGGATAGTGACGTTTCCTGTGACTGTGACTGATACTCTGCGCGTGGGGTATCGCAGGCGTCACGTTTTCCTACTTAAAGTAACTCGTTTTTGTGTGTCCCCATGAGGCCCGCGTCTCCTAAGTAGGGGGTAATTATTCTTATGATTGTGATAAAATAATTAAGTCCTATGGCTGCTCTTAGAGATATTACGAAAGGTAACAAGCTTGAGTGCTGAGCTGATCTCATCAACAACTGCCGCCTCTCTAATTAATTTTTCCAGTGCATTGTGTTCGGAAAAATCAGTCGTGCTCTCCCTGTAGATTATGCAGCTATCGTTACGTATGAGACGTTCTGCTCTCCTTCGCTATCATGCATTTTTAATTTTTTAAATATTATCATTAGACAGAATGTGTTTTTGTCAAAGTCTTTGAGAAGCCCACCATAGGCATCCGGTTGAAAAATATTATCCTCGATCCCGACGCGTCTCAAAAATTTGGATTGATAGTACAGTAACCGTTTTGTTAAGGTGAGATGTATTTTATTTTTGTCCCATAATTTTGTACTGCAACATGACTAAATGTAAATTATTCGTGCGTGTGAGCTTACTTGTGCCATGAGAACATTCCTGCTGTGTTATTTATACCCGCCTCTGTGAAAATTGTACTGCGTTGTACTGCTATGAATGTTTTAATAAAACTGACAAAAAAAGAGAAGCCCGTCGAATGTGTTTGGTTGGTCGATCAGGAGCCCCATTCTTATCAAAATGTAAAACAGCTCGAAGGCACAGCGACGCGACGCTCCTGAAAAGAAGGCGCCTTCCGAAACCGGAAGTGGTCAAAAGACCGCGCCACGGCCCCGTGAAGCCTCGCTTCCGCTAGCCTCGCGCCGCGCCGCTCGGCGGCGACGCGTCACGCTACGGCAACGAATCCAGGGGGCCGTGGCGCCCATCTTGCTGGCTTCGCCATTTTCCAGGGCAGGGCTGACAACTTTCAATCCGACGGACATTGTAAGTGTTTTCGTTATTTTGACCCAAGTTGGCGTTAATTCTCAAGTTTAGGACCTTCTGCTGTCCGGGGCGGATCTTGTTTAGGGTGCATGTACCGCTGCTTGGCGGCGTAATGCTAGAATCGCTGTAGGCTTGTTCACCGCGTTACCCTTGGGTTGTGGCTTGGGTTTGGGGGGGCTCGCGGACGCTTGGCAGTGCAATGGTATACAAGAAAATGACATCTTTCAAGTTCTCAATTTTGAAAATTTGCTGCGACAGTCGGACGCTTTGACGATTTTCGAAACTCTAGCTCCGCCCCACTCTAAATTCGACCACTGTTAGGCCAGTTATTCATCCGAAGTCTTGACAACAGCCAAAGCTTGCGTTGCACTCGCATCGCCATTGCCTGAAAAGTTGCCTTACTTGTTAATAAAGGTTTGCCATAATTTGAAATCAGAAATCGTACGTTTTGTTTGTTTGGAATTCATTTTATTTGTATTCAAAATTATATGACAGCTCCAAGTAGGCATCTGAGTTCGTTTATTAGTCCTAGCAAAATGGATACCTGGCAATTTCCATTAAAATTTTCCCTCCAAACTGACTGAATTGTGAGTCGAGCCGGTTCGGGCCCACCAATGCCTCATTCGAGCGCGAATGTCACTTTATTTAGCTTGTCGGACAATTTTTCTCATCGGGGTGGGATGTCAAGATTATTTACTTTGTTTTTGACGCCTGTACGTTACGATGTTTGTGTTTCCAACTGTCTGAAGTGAGGTTAGATCTTATGAAGGCCCCAGTTTCTAAATACTGTCCCTCTTCATTGAATGCGTTCTCACTGAAATTTGTTTATCCCCAAAGTTTGTTTACTTGACTTCTTACATATGTTGTTGTTTTTTGTTTTGTTTTAGGTCATTAACTTGAGACTGGTGTTAAACCCATTTCCGCAGCCATGACGGCTGATGTCGAGAAGAGCCCACATTGCTTGCTGTGTAACAGTAGGGTGGGAGTTTCCACTAGAAACAGCTGCCCCATCTTTCAGCAAAATGTGACATCATCAGAGAGAACTGTTGCAGCCACCATCGGTTTAGTCCTTAATCAGGAACTGTCTCAAGAAACAGTGCACAGCGATGTGGTCAGTACATTTCAGATATAATTGGTTGACTTTCTGCGAGGACGTCAATGTATTCAATTTTTCGCTTATGTTTAGGTTTGCAAAAAGTGCTATAAACTGTTAAATGAATTCGATGAACTGGAAGAAAGGCTTGTTGAGCTACGGATGGAATTGTCCTCCAACTACAATCGTACTCTAGCCAAGCGAAATGGAGACCTAGTGGAAGAAGAAGCTGAGGATGAGGAGGCCTTAGATGAGTCAGGTTGGGCTGCTGACGATCGAGAATACAAACCTCAAATAAAACTACCATTGGAGGATGGTAATGCACAACCATCTGCTAGAGGTCGTAAGAAAACCATGGTGAAGCGGACTATTAAAGTAGAGCATGTTGATGGTGAACAAAAGGTAAATTTTGTCTCTATTAAGCAAATTACTGTTAGTCTCTCATTTACATAATTTAATGCCTAATTTGTTTTGTGCTACAGGAGAATGAAGGTGAGGGCACAATTGTTGAAGAGTTTGAAATTGAATATGACGCCAATGATGTCCCTGAAGCTGAAGAGGGAGAAGGTGCAGAAGGAGAAACTGCTGAAGATGGACCATCAAAGGTCAGAAGAAAAGCCATAGTTCTTGAAATTTATTGGCTAACCGCATTTAGATTTTCTTACTGTATCTTTATTATTTTCTCCAGGTTGAAGATGGTCAAGAGTCTCCTAAAAAAGTGTCATATCCTCAAGTCAAAAGAAGGAGGAGAATGGCAAAGAAACGAGGCCGCAAACCTGCCATTAAGGTGAAACCAGAGGAAACGAGACTTGTTGAAGAAATGGTGGCACGTGAAGAGGGTCAATATGTGTGCTTGGTGTGCACTGATCAGAAGGTTACAGGAGATGACAAAACTATGACTCTGCACATGCGGGACGTGCATGAGTTCAGGCTATACGTGTGTGACATTTGTGGTGCAGTATTCCGTAAACGCACAGAGATGTCTACTCACTTGGATGAACATGTGGCTAATGAACAAGGTGATTTCCAATGTGAGGTGTGCAACCGTATTTTCAGTAATTTGCGTCTTTTCCGCATCCACAAGAGAATGCATTATCCTACATCCAAACTGCACACCTGTGATACATGTGGGAAACGCTACAGGTGAGCTTGCCTTTGGTTTAACAAATGTGCATGATGTTGGCTTAGTTGTCAATTGCTTAATGCGGTTTTATTTTCCTCTTTCTTTCTTAGTTCTCGGAATCTGTTGGAAGAACACATCAATACTCATACAGGAGCCAGGCCATATGTGTGTCAATGTGGCAAAAGTTTTGCTTCTAAATACACTTACAAGGCTCATATTAGAATTCATGAGCAGCGTCCTCGCCCCTTTGCTTGCACTGAATGTGATAAAACTTTCCTGACCTCTCAAAATCTGACACAGCATCTTCGAACACATTCAGAAGTCAAAAACTTCATTTGCAAGCAATGTGGTATGTACTTAAGATTCATGTGCTATCTTCGGTCTGTATTAATGTGATCCTAATGTTGCTATTAATGTTACAGGTAAAGGATTTGGCACTGCCCGAAACTTGGAGGTGCATGCAATCGTCCATACAGGTTTCAAGCCATTTATTTGTAGGATGTGTGGCAAAGCATTTGCACGAAAGGCTGAAATTCGTGACCATGAGCGTACTCACACTGGTGAGAAACCATACCAATGTGAGTTCTGTGGTGCCACATTCAGCCAACGTAGTAACTTGCAGTCTCACAAACGAGCTACTCACTACGATGACAAGCGCTACAAGTGTACTGAATGCACAAAGGCCTTCAAGAGGCGCCGTTTGTTGGACTATCACATGAAAGCTGCCCATACTGGAGAAAGACCTTATAAGTGCAACACATGTGATGCTACTTTTGTGTATCCTGAACACTTCAAGAAGCATCGTCGTATTCATACTGGTGAAAAGCCGTATCACTGTGAGGTGGGTATTTCAAATTTATCAGTGAATTTCCAATTTTGTAGTTTGCACTTCTTAATTCAAATTTATTATTTTCTCTCCAGGTGTGTGGTAAAGCATTTAACAGCCGTGACAACCGTAATGCTCACCGCTTTGTCCACAGTGACAAAAAGCCATACGAGTGTTTGGTTTGTGGAATGGGCTTCATGCGGAAACCTTTACTCTACAACCACATGCAATCTCAGGTATGTGTGAAGTAACTTAATGTTGATGGATTACAATTTCATCTGCAACAAAATGCTCACAAGCCCTTTTCCTACTCTTTCAGGGACATCTGAATGACACCATTGTGGTTAACCAGCCAAGACTAACCACAGAGGAGGATATCATAGCAGAAGGTGGTGAAGAGATGGAGATGACTATTGTTGGTGAAGATGAACTTCAAGGAGGGCAACCTGTAAGTCTGGCCAAGTTTAATTGATTTTGTCCAAAGCCTGTGCTGTTTGCTGATGCTGATAATCTTTTTGTCTTTTGTAGGTGTACATAGCAGAACTGAAAGAACATGTAATCATTCAAGATGGTGAAGATGGACAAGAGCGCATTGTGTTGAGAGATGGTCAAGATCTGCGTGAACTGGCTGAGCACCACATTGTGACAGAAGGGGGAGTAGGCCATCTCATCATTGACGGACAGGTTCGAGATTTTTTTTTTTTTGTAAACTTTCATAATATTTTCACTTTGTAGTATCTTCACAGATGAATTCATTTAATTAGGCTATTAAACTTTCCTGTTTTACTTTGTATTGCAGCAAGTTCAATTTGCGGATGCCTCTGATCTTGCTGGTATTGAGCAAGTTGAGGGTGAAGGCGGGGAGACCTACACTATTGGAGGACACCGTGCACTCGTCGTACCAGCAACACCACATCTTGCAAACTATGGAGATGTTGTGGAACATGATGGAGAGGGAGAAATCATTACAGGTCTTCAAGACGGTGAAACACAAGTGGTCCAAGGCGAATCGGGACCTGTGCATCTTGTTCAGATTAAAATACCATCGGGAACTGTTGGGGATAAGACATGGTTGAACATTGTACCATCATAATGACTGTTAGTTTTGTTAAGATACTACTCTATTTTTCTTTTCCCCCCTTCTAGACATTTACTACATCCTCATCAGTGTAGTGAATGTTTCATTAGGTGACTTGTGTGTTTAAAGTAAAGCATTAGTTTAAGTTCTTCAGTAAACTGGTTTTTAATATTCTTTGTTGTGGTTGAGTCTAGTTTGACAAATAGCACAGCCACTGTAATGCTGCAAAGAATTGTTCCAATTCTGAATCTATCAGACACCAATATCTTCATTCCTTACTTCTGGCATCCAAAGATAGAATTATAGAAAGTTTTTAATTTGATGGTGCTTTGAGATGCATGTGTTCCAATATTTCCTTATGAAGTTGTAATAAATTAATTTAATAAAGCTAGTCTGCCTTAAGCAGCGGAAAGTCTTCTCTTAGTCATTGTCGTTCCTCACACAAGGATGGCTGTGAACTGCTGCAAGAGCCAAACTTTCCACTTCCATTGCACAAAATTCAATAGCTTTGTATATTTTGAGTAAATGTCTATGCCAGGTAATCAGTGTTGTACATAATGTTTTTATGCATAGGAAGAGTGTTGTTAATGTTCTTAAAACCAAGTTTGTTTAAGGAGTAGACATTTATGTACAGGCAAAATATTTTAAGTAATGTTATTTAAAAGAGAATGTATGTATTTCAATATTCAACAATTGACTCAAAGGATAATTATGTGATAAAATGCAAGAGCAAGAGTTCAATTTTCGGTTTTGAAGTGTCCATTTAAATATCTTTACCACACCAAGTTCTGATTCTGCTTTGTCTCCAACAGATCTACGACTGTTTCAATTTTGTCATCCTTTTAGTGTATACCTTAAATCAGCTTGGTTTGGATATGGTTATAAATGCTTCACAAGTGCCAAAAGCCAAGGGGGCAGATATTAATTAATTATGTGAAGCATTGTTCACCTTCAGCCATTTTACTGTTTTGCTCCTTTTATCACTCAATTTTTCTTGCAGTGATTATCAGATCAGCAAATTGAAGTTTGCTGTTTCCTCTCTATGTGCACTCTTTTTCTTTCTCTTTTTGTGTGTGTCTGTGCGTGCTTGCGTGCGTGCGTGTGTGTAAGGGGTGGGCGAGTTATTTTAACAGGAGGGAAATCTGCTCTAAGCCAGCTGTTAGCATAGTGTATGTCTGGCTGTTGATGCAGTACAAAGGGTGCAATTTCTGCCATAGCACAATACACGATGTTTCTACTACTGGCTCACAGTTGATTTTTCTTTTTAGGAATTATCATTCTATTCAATCTGTGTATCAAAATGAAATGATTGAATTTCTCTAGCTGTGCCATTTATGTGGTCTGTCATGAAATTCTGAGTTGTTTTTTTTTGTATGTTTTTTGGGCTTTTTTTTAATTGATTGATTGTGGAAATTATTGTCTCAAAAACAATAATAATTCTTAGCCTGGTACTGTACTTACCAAGGAACATCTTTATTTTTCATCACTCAAATCTAAAAATATTCATTTCTGTTTTGAATCATTATCATGTGTTGCTTTGTTTTTCAATATAAAAAGAAAGGTGTTCAAATACACTATTGCATATTTGCCAACATACAGGTACTTCAGTGTATTTTTAAGTGGTATGGTAATCATTTCGTCATAATGTATGTGTGTGCAGTGGGTGTTACCATTTATGGTGCCATTTACGTAGTGGAGTATACCAAATGCATTAGATACATTTTTAGAATGTTCTGTTCCTTGTGTGCAGCCCATACTACTATACCATCTTATCATATTGAAATAGGATTTTATTTGGCAACTTGGGGCTACATGTTCTAAGTTGTTAGTTATAATGTATGTACTCAATGTGGTAATTGAGACCTAATGTCGAAGCAACATTAAAACTTAATCTCCCATGCCATTGTCTCAAGTTATTTTGGAAGTGAAACGAAGAATAGTGCCCACCTCTGAGCTCTCCTTTGTTCAGGTGCAACACAGAACACAGATGGAACCGGAGACACGAGCGCTGAATGGCCCCCCAACCGGAAATGGCAGTCAGAGGACCCCTCCTGCCGGGCTTTCCTTGCCAAAATTATAGCTGGGCATGACTTCGGAAACCTTGGAGGCAGCTGAGAGTGGAGTGGCATGCCATGGGGCGGGGCAGACAGCCCAGCGCAGCGCGCAGCCAAGGCGTGGGTGTGAGCGTGAGACAGGCTAGGGTAGGGTGGGGGTAAATAATCCAGTTTGGGGCTCAGCTAACAAGATTTGTCTGTGACCTTAGGCGCATTGAAGCCGTGGACTACCCAGCACCGCACCACTCGGGGGACACGTTTAGGGAAGGGACGGGGAAGGGCAGTCGAACCCCGACAGGCCGACGGGCAGTGGCCGCGAGCCCGCAGCAGCATCAGCTTGCAGCCCCAAGACTACTCCCCAGAGGAATCGAGGGAAAGCCCGACAAGAAGCAATCAAGAGTCATCTCCGGCAGCACCCGCGTTGCAGTGTGCGCGCAGTGCGTGGCTGGTGGTGAGTGTCGAGCAGTGAGGTCGCCGTCGAGGACTCCTCTTCCTCGCGGAATGGAGGCTCGGCATCGCCAATCACAACGTCGCGGCCGCAGCCAAGGGGCTCGACGTGCAGCTCGGGGCATGTAGCTTTAGCAGCTCGAGGCTCGCAGCTCCGGCGCCCCTCGAGGTCGCCGTCGCCACGGCACAGCCACGGCGCTCAGCCCCGCGCTCTCCACGGGGTCCGCGGGCCGGCGGCGGCCGTGGGAGCAGGATGAGACGGACTGCGGCCAGATCTGCCTAGTGTTCTGCATCTCCGTAAGCAGCGTGTTCGCGCTGGTCGGCCAGGTGGTCGCCTGCCTCCTGTACCGGTTCGGCACCTTCGGCGGCAACCCCCACGAGCACTGGCAGTGCCTGCCGTGACGATGTGGCGACGCCGTGACGTCACCGTCGAGTGACGGGCGGACTCGGACCGGCGTCGCAGGCACACCGCCCAGGTCAGTTGCCTCAACTCGCGGAAGAATAATATTTTATTTTATTTTCGGCCGGCTCCGTGCCAAGGGACGCGGTCGACGCGACGGCCAAGTTCAAGTTGAACCAGCCGAGCGATTCCGCAGGACCGTTTCGTCGCTCTGTCTCTCTCGCACCCCTAGACAGGGTGGCGAAATGACTCACCTGCACCGCTCGGCAGCTTCTCTCGCTTCCCTTCTCACCTTGGCTCTGGTTCTTGCTCTGCCACAGGTCTGCTGCCTGGCCTGCCAACATGCGTCCGCGCCTGCAGTGGTGGGCGGAGGAGGCCGAGTGGCTGGCCGCGCGGCTGGACCGGTGGCTGGCGGCGTGCCAGGGCCTCGGCCACGGCCTCGGCCAGGGCTACAGCAAGCTGCACTCCAGCGACAAGGCCGACAGGCCGGACAGGCCCGGCAGGCCGCCGCGGACGAGGTCTGCACCCGACGCCGCCGCCGTGCCCCGGAGCAACCCGTTGAAGGCATGCGCCCAGCGGCTGCAGAGCATCGGGCGCACTGCGCGGCCCGTCGTCGCCGGCACCGCCACCCTGGCCGTCGCCCCTGCAGCACAGTGTGCCGCCAAGGCGTGTTCCAGGCCACGCCGGCGCCAGACGCCTCAGCCGCCCAACACGCCCAACGCGGCCCCGACCGCCATCGTGTTCGAAAAGTGCCGACCGCGGACCGGGCGCAGCACGTCGCCGTCCATGCCCGCCGTGGACATCGTGTACTACCCCTTCCGCGTGGAGAACTGCGTGGTCTGCCGGCAGCTGGGTGCCGCCCCCGCGTCGACGGCCACGTCGCTGGCCGCGGTGCCGTGCCCCCAGGAGGGCTGCTGCGCGCCCTACGTGCCCTCGCCGCAGGAGCGCGCTTCGGGGGCGTCGGGCGCGCTGCTCTTCCGGGACCACGTCGACCAGCCCCAGGATGACGCCCTGCCTCCGCCACCGCCGCGTCCGAACTGCGGCGAGCGGGAGCCAGTCATCTCCATGAGCCAGGACTACATCGAGGTGCGGTACCAGCCGCCGCCCACGCCCCCGATGGAGGAGCAGCCGCCGCCGTCGTACCAGGCAGCCATGCGACGCGCCGCCGTCTTCGACCGCCAGGGCGACAGCGTCATCGGGGACCTGGCCTTGTTCTCGCCGCGCTTCGCCCGGGCGCCGACGCCGCGGTACAGCGCGTACGTGTACGGCCTGGAGGACGACGAGGATGACGCGGAGGACACCATCTACTCCCGCAACGACGTGCCCGCCGTGCTGGAGAGGGAGATGGCGGCGTGGCAGGCGCCTCGGCCTCGGCCTCAGCACGCCTCCTCGGCGCGCTACCGCAGCCGCAGCAAGTTCTCCAGCGTCATGTACGAGACGCAGCGCATGTTCGAGGAGGCCTTCCACGTCTCTGCCGAGGAGGTCCCCGTGGCGGTGCAGCTGCCGTCGCGAGGCCGCCAGGTGGGGCCGAGGCCGTGCGGGCAGGGTGCAGGCATGACCAGGGCGTGGTCCCTCCACGACCCGCACCGCGGCCCCAGCGCCGCCTCCACCGCGGGGCTGCGCGAGGTGGACATGCCCCACGGCGGCCTCGGCCCCGGCCTCCGCAGCCTGCTCAGCATCCGACGGCGGCCCGGGGGCGGCGCGGGGGCGGCGACGGGCCGTCCCTGTGGCGGCGCGGCTGGGGCGCAGGCCTCGGCCAGCGGGGCCAGCACCAGCCGCGGCCGGCAGCAGAAGAAGGTGGTCGTCGGAGAGCGCGGCCTGCGAGGGCCGGTGTGGCCGAGAGTCATCTTGACGTTCGACCGCGGCGTGACGCCCTACCAGCCCTACCAGGCGCGGTGAACGCGGCGGTGAAGCCCCAGCCCCACCCATGTGCCTTCAGCTCGGACGGTCCCCGCATCGTGTAAAAAAATAAATAAATCACAGACTAGTTTTTAATTTAGCTTTGGATCTCTTGTAATTGTGTGTGCGTGGAAAGAACAATAAAGGCTCTGTACAGGTGGAATGCGTCCTCCTCCTCTTCTTCTTCTCAAAGCCGCCGAGCCAAGTCCCTAAACGGCGGACGACGAATGAAATTCTTTGCCCCAAGCCACGCCTGAGCAAAGCCAGGGCAAATCAACGGGACCCCGATTCCCTTGGGAGTGGCGGCGGCGTCGGCGCGCTCCAGCAGTCCCCGTGCATTGCGCAGCCGAGTCCAGACGCGCTTTGGCCGTTTGCTGAGACCACCCCGCCACGCCCCACTTGGTTCCCCGCGCGTGGCTCGCGGTTCTCAGGTGCGCCCTGAATAGCTCCACGCCGCGGCAAACGTCAAGCTAACTCGATTCTCCGAGGACGGCGCTGCGGGGCCAACATAATAAATAAGCCGCGGGGGCGGGGCGGGGCGGGGCGGCGCGCCTCAGAAGGGCTGTTTTGTCGCCGTCGCCCCTGGAGGATGAAGAGGGGAAAACAGGCGCGTGGAGCCCCCTGACGACAACCGCGCCCTCCTTCGCCTGCAGCCGCGAAGCTGATAAAAGGGCGGGGGCCGCCGGGCAGGACCTCATTCAACGACATCCGGTCCAGGAGCACAGGTGAGTGCCAGACTGTATTGCCGGCGCCAAGCGCTGGAGAGGAGAGGCAGTGTTCCACTTGCGTGAGTATAGTCCGTCCAAACTTGCGAGCTTCTTCTTCGGCCGACCGCGCCGCCCTCCGCCACTGCCGGGATGCTGTCCGAGTAATTTTAGAGTCCGTGACGCAAGGCGTGCGTAATCTGGGCGGGGCGGGCGGCGGGGCGTGTCAAGAAGTGGCCAAAATACCGCCGAATCTGAATCCGACCAAGGGGAGCGCCAGCGCCAGCCCTGTCCTCAACGGCAGGTGACGAATTGCTATGTTGTACTACCCGCGTTTTATGGTAATGGTTCTCCCACTTCTATGGGCACAAATGAACTGTGTTTGAACTCTAGTAAACTGTATTTTGTGTCAAAACATCCCCGTTAGCCCCTGACGAGCTCGTCTGCCTGTAGCGCCTGGCAGGTAGGCCAGGAATCGGCCCCGCCACGCACCGGTGCGGAGACGCTGGCCTACCTTGCCCCTGCAGTGCTTTGCTGTGAGGTGGCCGGTTAGGCTAACGCAACTTGTCCCTGTCCTGCCCCAGGTCCGGGATAGCCATGTCTTGGCGCCGTGCTACCGCCCTCCTGGTGCTCGTGGGCGTGCTGCCGCTGCTGCTGCCGCTGCTGGGCGCGGCCACGGCCTCTGCGGCGCCCTCCTTGTCCGCGGACGGTGCGGGCGGACCGGGCGCGGCGCGCGCGGCCAGGGCGAGGGCCGTGGCCGGTGGCGGCGGGGCCAGCGGCGTCGTCCCGCGGATGCGCCGGTTCCCCTTCCTGCTGCCGCAGGTGCCCCTCGACGTGCTGGACGACGACGAGGAGTCGCTGTTCGAGGCCAACAAGCGCCAGATGTCGGACGACTACGGCCACATGCGCTTCGGGAAGCGGGGCGGCGAGAACGACTTCGCCGAGTACGGCCACATGCGGTTCGGCAGGGCCGCCGCGTAGTCCACGCGACTACCGCGCGATGGAGTGAGAGGGACAGGCACACGGCGCGGAGCGGACGGCGAGGGTCTCGCGTCCAAGAGCACCGGCTGGCACTCTGGACGCCCCTGCCACGCCCCACCCACACCACCGGTGAAAACCAGCCCTGTGCGTTTGGGTCAATAAACGTGTTTTCGCGCACTCCAACCCCGGTGTCAGCGCCGTCATTCATCCCCTTTGCTTCTCAGTCTCAATCACACGCCGTTCAGCATTCTCTGTCCTCAAATGGGAACGTAAAAAAAAAAGCCATTTTGTCTAGTAGTATTTATTTGTTGTCATGAACAGATCACAGTTTCTGTCTTATGTGTATCTTTTATAAATGAAATATTTGCCAATAGTACAAGTACGAATACAAATTACTGAAACCTAAAATATAACAGTTTAATATAATAGTTTTTTTCTGTAAAACTATGTAATGTAACAGAAGGCTGATAAACTGAAAATGAAACAAAGATACACTTCATATATGCACACATTCAGGCTTCTGAATGTCTGGAAAACTGGCCAAGGAGTAAAATGTACAATTTTTGACCAAACTATAATAACATTTGGTGTCACTTGTCACCCATATTAGACACATTTTTCAAATAATATTAATATTTTAGAAGAGAGGAGCAGTACTTGCTTATGACAAACATCAATAGTAAACAAAACATAGCTATTGACGTTATATCAAATAAAATCATTTTCAATATCATGGAAAATGAACACACCATCACAATTGGTGCTACCACAAGATGTGTACAGAACACACCACTTATTAGAGAAATGAGGAACGTACAAAACTGAAGACAATGCTGATATGGGGTTAACAAGATGCAGAATTTGTTGCGATGTGCGATGACGTATTAACACATAGGCTGGAGTCCTGGAGGAAAAGTGCTCCAGTGTCTTGATTGGTTCTGCAATAATAAATAGAGACAATTACTGACACTGAAGTCAATCAAGGGAATCTCAATTTAACTCTTACCAATGAAACTTACCTAAAAAAAGACCTAACTGTACAAGAGAATGGACCACTATACTATACTGAAAACCAAGAGGCAAAGAACACTTCATTAGATATAGGCATAAAAATGACTGAAGGTATGACAATTTTAAAAGTATTTCGTTACCCACCAATAGATTAAGGTGACATTGCAAGGATGTAAATCTCATTGTCCATTCTTAACTGCATCAGAACGTTGTCAACTGCACCAAAACAAAAAGTAAGTCAGTGTCCATTACTTAGGTTTCACCATACTTATTTCTGAACCAATTTCTCTATTAGGGGATCCATAAATTATAAAACAAATCATCGACTATTTCAGTGCACAGAGCTAGCTAGCATACCAGGTACATTTATTCTCTCCCAAATTATATTTTACATTGTGCTTCACATTGGTCAGATGCAAATGTGTGAGAAGGGGATGACATGCAGTATTTCAAGCAAAGCATGAATCATGCACTCAGAGCTGTCTGTCATCTTTGTTAGCAAATGGAAAAGAAATTGTCATCTCTTGGCTGGGATAAAGCTACAAGCAGCTTTACTAGTATGATACAAAAGCCACAATTAACTGCAACCACAGATGTGCTGCAAAGTCAATTAGAAGGCCATAAAAAGTAGAGAAAAACCGGTCAGTCTGTAATATTACTTCTGAAAGCCATGATCTACTGTGTTCTGATGAATTCTCCCACTCCCAATGAAACTGGTTAGAATGTGAGGAAGGACAAAAGGCATAGTAAGGAACACAATTGCTTACTCAATTATTCTTTGTATTTCTTTGAATAAAACATCATACCTGGTGTTGAGATAACCAAGATCTCCAGTCAAAATAAATATGCGACACATGAACTAACTATATGGTTAAAAATTGCATTTCATTAATGGGACAGTGAATAGGGGTTGAAAATCAGTAAAACATTTACAAAAGAAAAAATAATGGCTGAGATTACTGGCCATGGACAAAACAAATTTTTAAAAAATGAAAAATAAATGAACAAATAAAATTGCTAAGAGGAACAAACTCCTTACTGCCATCAAATGAAATCAATGGTCCACAGTCAGTTTAATGGATGGATTAACGATTCCTGGCATTCTAAATAAAAAATATTCGTCATAGAAGGAAGTTTGACTCAACAAATATAAGTAGTGAGACTAATATAGTGTAACTATTATCCTTCCTTATAAATAAAATACTTTAAATACTAATTCATTAGCTGCTGACCTCCAAATTAGTACTTTATGTCTGTTCCTGTTTCACAATCTAATTCTATTATTGAAAAGTTGCTGTGAAACTTCAGAAGTTTGTTCGCTTACACTGTTGGAACAATTCCTGATCAGCTACAGCAAAATCCAAAAAAGGGGGGGAAATGAAAAAAAGTCTGCCCATAAGCATTTAATAGAAACCAAGCAGGAAGAGGTGAGGTGGTAAATGGTGCACTGTGGTAGCCCAAAGCAAAGGGAGCACTTTTATTACAATGATGGAAGACATGCTGGGCAGACCTTTTAAGTCTAAACAATACATCAAAATAAATACTGTCAAAAGTCTACCTTGTTAGAGGGGAAGGGAGGCAGCCCACAAAGATTTCACGCAAACACTTGCAATGCCCTTCGTCACATTCTACCAGACCTCTTTCACTTATCAAAAATGTGGTGTAGAAAAGTAAATGAGGGAACAAATGCTACAAAGCTTAACAAAATCAACCTGATAGTGGCAGCGCCCTAAAAAGACAATACAGCTCCAATGGCCAAGACCGTAGACGGCAACAACCACAGAGGTATGAACTACTATAAATGCATTTGTAGACTTCCTTAAATTAGAGACTCTCCATCGTTATCTAGGCAAGAGACACACACAAGCACTAAAAGAAGCAGTTCCATAAGGCTTACTGCACAGGAACTTTTGAGTAATTATCAGGGCTCAACATCAGACAACATTTTACAATTTCGGTTCCACCAGGAACATCTACAAAATTGCCACAAAATTTGATCTAATTGTTTGATGATTTAGGATAGAAACTACTGCAAAGACTCCAAGTATGCAAAAGAATATAATGTGTCAAAGCTCAAAAAAATAAAAAAATAAAAATAGGCCTTACAAACATTTTAAGAGTTCTTCCCCACAAGAGAACTTGATGTTATATAAGAAAAATTTAACAACAAGACCTGGTAAATAATAATGCTGACTACCATTAAATGAAACTGGGAATTCAAAAATCCCAGCACCAATAACTTTAACTATAACAGCCATGAAAATGGGCAGCAAACAACATAATTACTCTCAAGAAACTTTCACAAATTTTAACCATTCCTAACATATTAACTAGATCACAATTATAAATGCCACTCAAGTCAGGGGGAAAATTGACTGGAGGAGTGGCAAATGTCCAGCATAGGAGTATGATTTTAGACACAAAATGCTTTAACACACTTGAAACCCTATACCACGTATGATTACTAGAGGGTCAAAATTCTCAAGGAGAATTTCAAAACTCCAACAAGACTAACAGAGCCAAATAGACAGAAGTGTGCACTAACAATGTGAAGTCAGTGAACGGAGGGCATACATGGTCTTAATTCCCTGACGAATTAATAAAAGCCTAGGAGGTTGCCTCTCATTTTGAATGCATAGAAGAGTCAACAACAAATATCTACAAGATGTTAGCCTACCATGGCATTGACATGGCTCAGATATGACATGACAACTCGGATGACATGAAACGAGGCTTTCACATTTAACTATTAATAAGGGTATTCAAAACCGTAACAAATAGAACACTCAAGTTGATGTGCTTTAAACTACAGACTTTCAATTCACTGGAAAATGCTCAGTTATAAAAAAATTATGAAAGGATAATCTCACTGCAGGGTAGTTTTGATTGTTATGAAGAGAAATGAAGTCAAATGAGCCAACTACCCAAATATAGAAATTAAAAAAAAAATAAAACTCAAGGAGATTTGTGAAAACATGATACACCACAGGCAACACTCTCACTCAACCTTTCAAGAGGAATGAAACCTGAAAAAAGCTATCGTCCAAGCAATCACACACACAATTTCACTTAGCCCAACATTCACTCACTCACTTCTTCTTGTTTTTGTTGGTGGCTCCACGAGGTGGTGTAACAGGTCTTCCGGCATTCAGTCCACCATAGGTAAACTTCCTCTTATCAGCGGGCTGAAAGATGAGAGAAGGAAAATCAGCATCACTGAGATACAAGCTTTGAAAACTTGAGGTATGTAGTGACTTACTTTCAGTATCTGAAATGAGCACATTAATGTCTCATCAACTGACATCATTGCTCCAGCATTATCAAACTCCCCACAATAGTTAGGTGCAGAGAATAATGTCACCAGCTGGCGTTTGGCGAAAAATTCATATCCATCTTCAACAACCTGGGAAACAAGTTAGTAATTAGCAAAATACACAATGATAAAGAGAAAATTAAGAGCTTATGTTAAAAACAAATCACTTTGACAGTCTTTAAAACCTACCTGATGTGCTCTGCAGATCAGGTCAAAGTCGTGTTTGTGTAAGAACTTCGCTACAACTTCAGCTCCAAATGTGAAGGAAACACCTCTGTCGTTTTCACCCCATCCCATTGTGTCCTGTAGGCAAAAATCCCATCAAACTGCTATCAGCAAGATTTCAACAAAACTACATACAATTGCCATCACAAGAAAAAGTGCAGTGCAACTAACCTTATCAGGATCTGACCAAAGAAGATCACACAGGAGACCTTGGTCTGGAACATCAGTGGGCCTCATGATCCGCCGAATCTGTTCCATGCTGTGAAGATCAGGGCTCAAGCCACCATGGCAGCAGAAAATTTTCTCATCAACAATAGCTGCCACAGGCAGACAGTTAAAGCAGTCTGTGAAAGTCTTCCACAGCTTAATGTTGTACCGTCGTTTGCCTACAAAAATGGAGCACAAAAATTAATAAAATCTTTGATGAGGCTTATACAGGCAGATTCCAGATGAGCAAATACTTACATTCATCATAAAAGCCATATATCCTGTTAATTGATGCACATTCATGGTTGCCTCTCAGTAAGAAAAAGTTCTCAGGGTACTTTATCTTGTATGCCAACAAGATACAGATGGTTTCCAGTGATTGCTTGCCTCTATCAACGTAATCTCCAAGGAAGAGATAATTTGATTCTGGAGGGAAACCACCATATTCGAAGAGACGGAGGAGGTCATAGTATTGTCCATGAATATCACCTAAAATGAGAGCAAGGCAACAATTGTGAATAAGAGCAGAATTATAGCGTTAACAAGCAACAAAAATACAGAAAAATAGAATACAATAACATACCACAAATCTTCAATGGAGCTTCAAGTTCCAACAGGATTGGCTGGGATAGAAATATTTCCCTTGATTTCAGACACAAGTTTCTGATTTCTGCTTCTGTCAGTTGGACATTTTTGCCCGGTCTGCCGCCGCGAACTGATGGATAAACAGTAGGAAATGTTAAACTAGCACTAAAATGCTCCTACAGAAAATGACAACAGTGTGAATGAAATATGTCAAGATGTGTCAAAAAAAGGTACAAGAGGTTAGTCTAATAGAAACGTCAGTACAGAATAACATAGGTTATGCTTGGGTGAAAGCAGTGAAAGATAAAATCCAAATTTAATTGATTACATGTACACATACAAAGTAAGTCCCAGAAATGCAACCTGACCACCATGTTCAGGAAGTGGCACAAAAGTGCTAGGTTGGAAAGAGTAAAAACTTTAATAGGAGGCAAATCTGAAAATTGATCTACAGTGTGTTTTAAAAGCTATATAGCACCAGTAAATATTCTTTGAGGGAACACAGAAACAGGTGTAATTACAACCTCAAAAATATAGGCTATAAATACAGTTAGAAGTGTCGAGGTCTTGACAGAAAAGGATGGAAAGGAAGGAATGTGTGATATGTGTGGGGCCAGAAATAAAGCCCCGGACGGAATTTCGTAGCAAACCAAACCCCCGGAAGACAAAATCCACACTACCGCTATACTTGTTCAAGGCCATAGCCTAGGCCTACATTCTGTTTCCAATCTTAAACAACGTAATTTGTACAGAGAGTTTAGCTTCTAAGGACTTTTCAAGGCGGAAAATGAGTGGCGAAATTTTAATTCTTTAAAATATGGAAGTTTGATTAGTACAGTATAGTTATTTGGGTGTGTAGGAAGAGAGAGTGGCAAGAATTTGAGGTGAAGATTGGCATAGGCTCTTGAGAGGTCGTCGCAGTATATTTACCTTCGAGTAACCTGGCAATAATAGCGTCTATATTCCAATTATTCGTTTCGGCCATTGGAAATGGAAAACTGAAGTTAACTTGCACACAATAAGAACACCGATGATGTTAAATACAGGCGGATTAAATTAGATTAACGGACGAAATTTCAAGTTGAAGAAGGAGGTGTTTGGGCTTCTGAAATGGCGGCCTACAAGGGTCTGACGTCACCATATCCCGCCGCTTGCTGGATCCTTACGAAACGAGATCTCGATGTACCGCCATGATCTCTGCCAGACTGCACGCTGTGGCTGCGCTCGGAAGTGTTTCCGCTTCCCTTCACATTCAAAGTAGCAACAATGGTCGGTCCACCAGGTGAACAGGTAATCCCACGCCTACATGTCCGGTTGCCTTATTGTGGCAACCCATGAAACACTGCCAAAATGCCTAATTGCCTATGAATTTTCTTTGCCTCGGGGAATGACCCGCCCGCCAGCAGGTCCATCCATGTTTTCCTTCAGGTTTGTGTACAGTAGTCACAGCTGTCGCTCCACGCTCCTGATTTGTGCTTGGATTTGGTCTTAATTTTCTGTTTTCTTTCGGGTACATCATTTTAACATAAATTTTGTGGATCACAGATAACTTTAAGTGATTCCAGCATGAATTGAGGTGCTGCAATTTTGCTTTGACTTTTGGAGCTGGGTCCAGAAGGTGTTCTACTAACTGTTCATAAGCAGTATTTTTTATCATCATTCGAATTTTAAGTGTGGAAAAATGAGACAGGTTCAAATTGCTCATTGTTTCTTGTAATGAGTTGCTGTTTAGCCAAGAAGTGAGGGGTTTATTTTGTTGGAATGAAGTGGAATGCATAAAATTAATTTCTTTCACATCACATACTTTATTTGAGACAGTGTAGATTACTAGGTATGTACAAAATACTTGTTCACCCAAATGACCACATCATCAACCTTATAGAATATTTTTGAAAAATCAAATATAGGAACATTTTATGTACAGTTCAAATGCTGAGGTCCTAAGGGAATAACAAGAAAAATCATTATCTTCACAGAATATCTACAAGAACATAAAAGTAATTTAGCTATATTACACATGCTTCCTCTTTCTCTTCTATCACACGCATCACATATTAATACAAATTATGCCTTAAATCATATACATAAAACAATCCCTGCATGAAGTACATGGTATGCAATTAGAATAACAACTGGAATAGATTTAAAGGTATACTTTGAACAGATAATCAATGGAAAAAAAAATGTCATTTGTTCGAGTTACTAATTCTGGCAAGAAAAAACTGCATACCAACTGCATACCAGTTCACACAAATTAAAATCAACACATGGCATTCTCCCTCTGGACGATTTGATATAAACAACTAAATATAATGACTAAAAACCTGGTGTAAAATACACTCCAATTAAAGTGCAATAAATAAATGTAAACTTAATTACAGATAGATCAAAATAAAATACATATACACAAATAAATAATAGAAGTACTCACAATAGCAAGAGTGTCCTGTGATCAATGTTCTTACAGAAGGTAATGTCCAAAACATATGGAGATGATTAAGTGACGCCTTTGACAACTACATTGAAAATTTCTGAACTGGTGGCTAAAACCATGAGTTTGAAGGAACTGTTCAGCCAATCTCCAAAATCTACAGGAGACCTGCAGAGGCTTAATAAGTTGTACTACTGGTTTTATAATTTGAATTCAAGCCTTCCTTATTTAAAACATTCATCTAAAGACTAGTGAAGATGGTTCCAATAAATATGCAACCTTGATGTAGGACTCAAAGCAAACTATTGTATCACACTGATATACATGACAAAATGGCATAAGTAGATTCCCCATTTTAAGTATACATATATCTAGTTTACCATTCTCTTATCAGGCTTCTGTACCCTGTTTTATAGATAGGCACTGCTTGTTTGCAAATACTGATGAAAATGTACAAGTACATTAATCACAGAGAGCAATTGGTTTCAACAATAAAACTTTTTTTTTTCAATGTCCCAGCCTTTTGAGTTTTAGCGAGATCAAGTCTGAAAGGTTTCCACAAGCAAAAACTGCAGTGAAAACCCTCAGTAAATTTAGACATATCACAAACCCTAAGGTTCCAAATGTTTTTGAGTTTGGCATTATATTTGCCTGTTTAACAGTACCCTTAGGTCCAAAATGGTTGCAGTCTTTTTTATAATTGTTTCAGAAGAATGATTAGAATACATGATAAGAAACACAATGCAGATGATTGAAGTGCTGATGCTGTGCTCTGGACTGGTAGCTTCGGACGAGGTGGTGCTGTTAACAAATAGAAAGCAAACATAATGTTATTGGAAAAATCAATAGTAAAAGCACTGAATGTCTAATATCTCCACTATTCTCACCTGTGATTGGTTTCCAGGGTTTTGTGTGAGTTTCCACTGGCCGCCTTGTGACCGACCATTGTGTTGTTGGTCTTGGCCGAGGAGTTGGGGAGGATGGAGCAGGTGGAGGGACAGGAACGGATCCCACGCAAGCATCTGTGCCACCAACAAATTGAAAAACCAAATGAATATCTCATCTCTTTTGAAATAGACAGTTTCATCGGACCTGCACCATGGGCTCATGGGCACGACACACTGCTAAAACTTACCTTTCCTGTGAAGAAGCATGCCACGTTCAAGTGGATTGGCATCCCTTTCACAGTGTTCACCTGCTTCCTTGATGTAAATTTCTGTCGGGGAAATCTTGGAGCCAACAAAACACTCGTATGTTCCAACATCTTTACGCTGTGTGTAAGTGTACAACAGTTTGCCTTCCTGCCACTGGCCAAGGCAACGATACTGCCTCTCTGTAACAGAATAAATCACCACATTAATACATAGCAAAGAGATCCATAATTTTCAACAGACTATAATCTGTTAGACAAAAAACAAAAAAACAACAAAAACCAAACAGAGAGACGCAAGGGAAACATAATTATAAAGGTGCAAAAAATTCACAAAAACACAAAAATGCAGTGCTTTGAGTAGCAATCAGATGGCTGGTGCAAACAAGGCTGGGCAAACAAAAACACCAAAACAAGTAAAACAAGTGAAAATTCTAGCAATATTTTCAAAAAGGCAATGTGTAGGACAATAAAACAAAAGTGACAGCGTGCTGCAAATATTCACACACAGTGGTCAAATCAGAAAACTTTGATTCAAATCTTCCAGCAGCAGTGGCCTTGATTAAGCCACCCCACTTTCGAAGCTTTGATTCATGTTCTTGGTTTAGACAAACATGCAAGTACAAAGGTGGAACAAATGGTGCATCACAGAAACAAACACATCAAACCCTGGCTGAAATTCTTCTCAAGAAATTTCATGGCATAAAGTGAGAGGAGGGAGGGGGTGAGTAGAGTCCAAGAGTTCTAGGACTCTAGGGGTGAGGTGGATGGCGAACAGGTGACAGGGAACGCACATGAAAACACAAACAAGTAATCACACACACGCACACACACAGGCACGGACTACCTTCCATGCGGAATGGTGTGGCGGCGCTGCGGGCCTCGGTTCTGGGCGCCGCGACGGGCCTGAAGGCCGTGCCCTGGGAGCCTCCCTCCAGGGTCCAGCCGGAGTCGTGCGGCTGCAGCGCGCGGCGCGGCGTGGAGCTCCTCTCCTGGATGGAGTACACGCCGGAGGACAGCGCGCCCCGCTCGCCAAACTCCATGCCGCGGTCCGTGGGGGCGCGCGCGCTGAGCGCCATGACGCCGTGCACGGGCACGGCCATGGGCACGATGCGCATGCGGAAGCCGGTGCCGCTGCGGGACTCGAGGAAGGGCGACGGCGGCAGCCCTGGGATCTCGACGGGCCGTCCGCGGTAGGTGCCCCCCATCGCCGTGCCCGTGCCCATCCCCGCGCTGCCCATCCCGGCCGTGCTCGTGGCCGTCAGGTCCGCGGCCGGCGACGGCGGCATCGCCGAGGCGCGCGCACCGGGCCAGCCGATGGACACTTCGCGCGCCGCGGGCAGCGCGGGCAGCGGGGACGACGCCGGCGGTGGCGGCTCCATCGCGGGGCCGTGGTAGTAGAACGGGTTGGGCTGCTGCTGCGGGGGCGCCTCCCGCACCGGGTCGCGGTACCCGCTCTGGCTGTTGAAGTACATGACGGGCCTGGCGTGCATGGCGTCGGCGACGCGGGGCCCGGGGCTGGTGGTCTGCAGGCCGTGCATCTTGGGGAACGCCCAGGGGTCGTACTCCTCCTCTGAGAAGGTCGCCGGCGCGGAGCCCGACCGCGAGGCCACCGTGGTGGACGTGGTGGACGCCGGGGCGGCGGTGGAGGTGGTCAGGTTGAGCAGCGCGTTGTAGGACGACGGGTACATGGGCCCGTGCGCCGAGGCGTGGCGGGGCTGCGGGTTGGGGTTGGTGTGCGGCAGCGGCACGGCGTGCGGCACGGCGTGGGGGAGGGAGTACGCCACCAGGGTGGAGTCGGTGCGCTGCCCCCACGTCGAGGTGCTGCGGTTGCTGACCGAGGCCCAGGACGCCTCCTGCTGCTGGTCGCCGGGCGCGGCGCTCGTCTGCCGAGGACTGCTGCTGATGCGGTAGATCCTGGACGCGGCGGTGGCGGACGCCGTGGAGGGCGGCACCTGGCCGAGCTGGGGCGCGGCGGCGGCGGTCTCTGCGGCCGCGGCGTCTTGCAGCAGGGCCTGCCTGCCGACGGCGGCGTCGTCGGCCGCGGCCTCGGCGTCGCGACGCTGCCTCGACCTCGGCCGCGGGTACCTGGACTGGGAGCGGTCTGCAAAGCAAGGGGAACGTCACGCGGGCACTGCACTGCTACGATGCTACACCACTGCAACGGCCGCGGTCCAGGAAAGCCTGCAGTTATCAACAGCAACGACGGGGCAGCGAACGCAGACGGTAGGCAGCAGCGGCTACGCTATACTGTACACCATTATTTTACACCATGCAGTTGTATACAACAGCTTGAAGCGTCTGTCCTCGCAAAATAAAAATAAAATTAGCCTTTTGGAGACGAGATACAGGCAGCGGTGGATACGCACCTTCGTACACTTCGTCGCCGCAGTCCGAGACGGTGTAGTACATGACGTCGGGGTTGGCGCAGTCGGACGACAGTTTGGCGCACAGCCCGTCCGCGTCCGGGATCAGGCCGTTGTACTCGCCGGTGATGGGGCAGGGGGACTCCTGCACGCGGTCCGTTCCTGAAAAGGCCCCGAAAAGGCGCGCAATTAGTAGAGTCCTTTGAGATTCGCGAATGCAGTTTGAGAAAAATGATACGCACTTCCTTGTGTGACCCAGATCTTCTCACGGAAGTTGCTCAGCGAGCAGAGGCTGTTGTTGAAGCGGTCGCTCTCCTGGAGGCCTGCAACGAGACGAAGAAGCGAAGACGGTCAGTAACAAGGACAAGAGAGATAGACTGTCAGCCGCGAGCGACTACTTTGAGCCCCCCCGCCTTTCCCCCGCGAAACAGTGCATGAAGGGCCCATCCCCGCACACGGCACCAAACGGCACACACGTGAGGCGAAGGGAATGCAACATGATTCACTTTTCGCTGCCTTGCCTATCCCCCCTCCCCTTGCATCGGTACGGTGCCTTAATTAAAAACGCGTAGCCGTATCGCCCCCCCCCCTCTCTCCCTTTTCCCCCGGTACCACCAGTGTACACGTTTCCGGTCGCAAGAGCAGCGGAACTCCAGAGAGGGACAGGCTCTGTTCCGAATAAAGGACCACAAACACAACGACAGAGTTTCGATTTGACAAAAATATCGTGTTGACGAATAAAATCACCCGAGAAAGGATAAAGGGGCCGCAGCGGCATGGGAGCAAAAACGCGGGACAAAAAATAAAGTTGGAAAGGCTGCGGCCCGCTGAAGCTGTCCGCGCCTGTCACCCCAAGCTAAGCCTTCCCCTCCCCCGCCAGGCCTCTGGCTCGCCTCGCCGCGCCGCCAGCTCGTGTTTCCCCGCCATATTCACCCACTCGTCTCGGCGTTTGCCCCGACTCAGATTTCGCCCCGGAAACTTGCCCCTCCACCTGCCCCCGCTTCCCACCCCACGTCCCAGTGCCGTTGGTACCCTGGTACTGCCCAGCCGGTGTACCCTGGTCAGCGCCCCCGCCAGGTCACCGTCGTCGCTCCGTCTCCCTCGCACCCCTACGACCCGCCCCGCGAGTGCGAGAGAGACAGAGACAGCGCGGATCATCCCGGATTCGGATCCGCGCGCCGCAAATAAGGCAGTCAGTCGCTTCGCGGCTTCTCGCGGGGCCGTGCGCAATTACCGGCGGCAGTGCTCGCGCTCGCACGTACAGCACGGCGCGGCACGGCACGGCACGGCACGCGAGCGAGCCAACGACCGCGCCACATGACGCCCTCACCGCGGCGCCGCGGACCAGAACGGCCGGCCGGGCCGTGCTAGCCAGGCTGCACGCGGCGCGGCGGCAAGGCACTGTACGGCACGGCGGCGAGGCCTGGGCGCCGCTCTGTCCCTCTCGCACCCCATGAGTGCGAGAGGGACGAGGAAGCCTTCGGAAACAGTCCGCAGACGCGCCACGCTGCGGGCGGGTGATAACCAGAGGACAGACTCCGCGAGTTCGCCGCGTCGAGGCAGGTGACACGGCTGTGGGCGGATAAATGTGCGCGATTTGGCGTTTAGCAGTGTAGCGCCCCGGTCCAACTCGTCCAACTCACCGATCTGGAACTCCAGCACGTTGCTGCCGTGGTGCTTGAGCCACACGCACGTGTACTTCTCGTGGCCGCACTGCGTGCGGTAGTAGACGGGCACGCGCTCCGAGGACTCGCCCTGGTCGGGGCCGATGCAGCGCAGCGAGAACGTCTTGAGCTCGGCGTGGTCGCGGTACGTCAGCGAGTTGTGGCCCACCGTCACGTGCTCCCAGCGGCCCTGCGCCCACGACGGGAACCTGCCGGACAACAACAACAACGTCAGGGACACTGCAGACGCCCGCCATCATTTTCAAAAATCGTCATGGAAACATGGCAGTGTACGCACCTGCAGGCGGCCGTCTCCACGCGGCGCGGCCAGGGCGCCGTCGGCACCTTGCGGAGGGTCAGCGTCTCGTAGCCCTGGGTGGCCGAGTGCAGGTCCGTGGAGCACGTCGAGTCGCTGGAGAAGGCGATGTACGTCATGCCCGTGGCCTCGTCCTCGCGGTACATCTGCAACAGGGACGCGACAGCGCGACGGTCAGAGAGAGACAGAGAGAGAGGGAAGACGCGAAGGACGAAGACAAGTTGCCGCACGGTGCAGCGGCCGGCCGGACCGGACCACCTGGGCAGTGCCAGTGCCGCATGCCGCGGGCCCCGCAGCCCGCAGTGCAGCGCCAGGACATGTTGAACAGTGTGGCGGTCCTGGCGGTGTGGCCCGCGGACGGACGGCCCCTTTAACCTGGTCCAAGCCCCCCGGCGGGGCGGGGCGGGGCGGCCCGGCACCAATAACCATAACTCAAGTCGCGGACCGCGAGATGTCCGGCCCGCTGTCTCTGCATGTTGGTGCGTCTTCGCGGACGCGTTTCGCCATCCAGGCGCACGCACTGCATGCTCTGCGCACACACACACACACACATGCCGGCAGAGGCGGTGGGCGGCCGCGGGACGGCAAGTTTGAATCGTTCCAATCGGGGAATCGGCGCGTCGCTCGCGTCGCCGTCGGAGTCTGGAGTGGACTCGGCGTCCCTCAGGACGGGGCGACGGGGCCCCCGCCCGCCGGACAGCCCCGCCTGCTGCATCACACCTATCTTCATCTGCCCTGTGTGTTTGCTGCCCCCCCCCCCCTAACCCCCACACACACAGCAGCCCCGGACAGGCTCCGACCGAACGTACGTGGCCCCACGGCCAGCTGAAACGGTGTCCATCAAGTGCCATATCCAAAAGGAAGGCTTAATTAATTTCTCAAAAAAATAATTAGTCCCACGTCTCTGTCGATTAAAAAGCCGTGTGTGTGTAATTTCATCCGTCAGAACGCGACCGACGGTACCTGATCAACGATGCTGGTGTGTGTGTGTGTGTGTGTGTGTGTGTGTGTGTGTGTGTGTTTGTTGAGCCTTATTTCCGTTGGGTGGTCGACCAATCGGGGCGCTGCCGCGAACACCGTACTCAAACGAAATTAGTTCCATGACTTCTTCTCTTCATCCGCGTTTCAAAAATGCCCCCCCAAAAAGCCGGAAATTTGTGTCTTTCTGGTCGGGTCCACACCGTGCCTCGCAATCCGGGACCAGCCGAGCGGATCGCGTTGCCATGGTGACGCCCCCGCGCATACCACTACACTAATATATACAGTGTACGCGCGCGCGCGCTTTTTTCCCGCTGCCGGGCGAATCCGCGCATACAGTCTCACTCGATCTGTCTCCCTCGCACTCGCGTATACTTATCGCGACGCCGCATCTCGTCGCTCCGTCTCTCTCGCACTCGCGGTCTGCCCGTGGGGGTGCGAGAGAGACAGAGCGACGTGATAAGGCCGCCGGAAGCGCGGGACGCGGCGGGACGGGACGCGCCAAGGCCGTAGCGCACCGCGCCGCGCCGCCACGCATGGCGTCTCCTCTCACTTTTGCCTCTCATTCTTTCTCTCTGTCGGCCACTTTCGTTTTCGACGCACTGCTAATGACATGCAGCGCCACTATTTTTAAAACCGCAGTGACTCCGCCGATCCTCTATCTCGCACCGAAGGCCTTCCATTTCCAGCGGTGGCTTCACTGATTCTCATATTGGATTTCGCGCGCAAACTTGCCTTGTTTTTGGCGATTTTCTAGCATTTTTTTTGTTTGAGCGGTTTGTTGCAGTGATTTTTACTCCGGCTTTCCCGACCAGGCCACGGGCAAAAAGGGAAAAATGCTCGCGATGCGGACGGTGGACGAGGACGCGTCGGCGCGGCGCTGCGTGCTGGCCCGCTGGCTTGTCGGCCGACCGGACCGACGAATCGCTCAACAATTTTGATGATCGCCGGTCAGGGAATCGATGCCCGGGGAATGCCGCGACGGCCCGGACGGCCTCGGCGGCTCTGTCGCTGCATTTCAGTGCATTCCGCCGGCAGTGTGTGTCCGTCTCTCTCGCACTCGCGGCCCGGCCCGTGCGGGCGCGAGAGAGACGGTCGATTGTCGCGCGGTGCGTGGCCGCGTTCTAATAGGCGGCGCGGCGCGGCGGTCACCGCGGTCGCATTCCCGCGCGTCCTCGCGGGGCTCCTCGAAAGCGCGCCGCGGTCAGCGCTCTGTCTCTCTCGCACCCCTGCGGCTCCGCGGGCCGCCCCGCGGGTGCGAGAGAGACAGAGCGAGACGGCGATGGCCGCGGTGCGCGGGGCGCCTTCGGCCGCCTTCGGCCGATGCGGCGCGTCGGATCGCCGGAGATACGCGTCTCGCCGCGCCGGTCCTGCAAGTCCCGCAGGTCCGGCAGGTCCTTTTGGTCCTTTTTGGCGCGTCGGGGAATAATACGACGTCGTTCGCTGCGTGCGCCGAGAAGCGGCGACTATCAGATGAAGGAGGGCAGCGAGACGCCCGAAGACACTCATCGGCGTCCACGGCCAGCACCAGCGCGTCACCGCGGCTTCTACACTGTAACCATACTTACGGCGCATCGGTACTGGGCGCGGCGCACGGCGTCCACCCTGGTGTCCAGCAGGGCGAGGTAGCGCTGGTTGTCGGTGCCCGTCCAGTGGCCCAGGCACTCGAACGTGATGTCTGGAAAGGGCAAACAAGAGCACCGTGTGAATGAATAGTCGCCTTCAATGGGCTGTAGATTGCGCAGGCCGCGGGCCCGAAGGGCCATGCACCTTTCGCGGCGTCCAAATCGGCCAGCGCCCTGCGTCCGTCTGTCTGTCTGTCTGTCTGTCTGTCTGTCCGTCCGTCACGTCCGGCTAGCACCTGTCCGTCGTCCGTCCGCATTCCGGCCCTCTGTGAGAAAGGCGAGCCACTCTCGGAAACAATCGAATGGCTTGAACTTCGGGGCGGTGGCGAGGCGGCACCGGCGCGGCGTCCTCCGCGGGCCGCTCCCTCTCTCTGTCTGTCTCTCTCGCACCGCCACGGCGGCCACGGTGCGGCCCGCGAGTGCGAGAGAGACAGAGCGAAGGGCCGAAAGCGCACGGCAGCGCCGAGGAGCGTGGAGCCATTTCGAAGCCGGGGGTAAAATAAAAGTGGAAGCCGGACAGCACACTGATTCCGAGAGTCGCCGCTCTGTCTCGCTCGCACGCACGGGGCGTGTTCTGTCGGTGCGAGAGAGACAGAGCGACGACTCGCGGAATCAGTGTGCTGGACGGGGACGGGACGGCCGGAGGCACGTCGATTGCCGATTGATCGATGGCTGGTCCCTCTGCAGTCTCTCTCTCTCTCTCTCTCGCACTCACGGGGCGCCCCGAGGGAGTGCGAGAGAGACAGAGCACCGTTCGGCGGCAGCCTGCGGGCCGACAAGGAGGACGCCGCCTCAAATTGCTCATCGCTCTCTCAATTTTTGTTTTGTTTGTAAAAGCGGAGCGGCGGCCCGCGGCGCGCCTCCAAAAGTCTTTCATCGGGGCCGATAACCGCGATGCCATGCGACATTATCATCTCATTTATTTTTATTTACTTTTCGCAAAACTGATTTCGTCACGGACGCAGCAGGGAGAAAAATCGCGTGAGCTTACTAATCCAACTCGAGTGAGGCAGTGTTTGCATAGTGGTGGTCGGAACCGGGGCGTGTAAACAGACTGCCTATGGACGGGCTAACGAACGAACGACGCGCGCTCGGCCGCACAGTGGGCCAGAAGACCGGTGGTAGCGGCCAAAATTCTTGACTCCAGAGTCGCTAAAAGGGAGTAGAACCGAACGTGTGACCCCACCAATGGATTGCTCTCCGAACGAGGAATCCATTGATGGGGTCATACGCTCGGTTTGAGTCCTGTTAGCGACTCTGGAGCTCAAAACGCGTCTAGAATTTTGGCCGCCTCCACCGGTCTTCTGGCCCACTGTGGGCCGCTGCGGAGGCGCAACAGTAGCCCTGCCTCTCCGGCCGTGCCGGCAGCCTAGCTGCTTGCTCATCAATCAACACGCCCCGAAGCGGCGGGCTGATCCCGAACCGCGGTCGCTCCGTCTCTCTCGCACTCGCGGGCCGCCCCGTGAGGGTGCGAGAGAGACGGAGAGAGCGTCGTTCGGAGTCCGACTAGGCGGCCCAGTGGCTGCATTTGTAACAGCTTTCGACGCCAGACGTGTGGCAGGTGCCGCAGTGTGGCGGTGGAGAGAAGAGAGCCAACAAATTCGAACGGTGCGCTTTGGAAAGGGATTATGGATCTCGGCGGGGCGGGGCGGGGCGGCTGAATGAGCGGCCGAATGAACGCGGACAAATGAAGGCCCAGGTATGACTATCCATTATGCCTTTGTGTGTCCCCGTGCCTCCCGCCTGACTGATGACGGAAATGTTTGCAAGACTCGTTCCCGTCGCTCTGTCTCTCTCGCACTCGCGGGGCGTCCCGCGGGGCCGTAGGGGTGCGAGAGAGACAGAGCGACGCTGCGCGGCCGCGGCTTCGAATACCGGCTTCACGCGCTTTTTCTCGTCTGATTACTCACTGTGGTTCTCGAAGGAGCAGCCCCTAAAGCGAACGTTCATGGCGTTGCCGGCGGGGCAGTTGTCCAGCTCCGAGTCGGGCGTGGGGCACTCCTGCTTGTTCTCCAGGCCGTCGTTGACGTTGTACGTGAAGGTGAACCTGCCCGACACGGGGCAGTACTCCTTCAGCACCTCCTCGCCGTCCAGCTCCTTGGTTTCTGCAACACGAAGAACAAATCCTGCGTTAGCAAAGTGGTCACACGCCGTCTCGCCCGCGCTGCGTCGCGTCTTCAGCCTCGGGGTCAAATGACCCCCCCCCCTCTTTTCCACCGTCTGCTCGGCATTCTTGCGTGTCACTGATTGGTCGGCGCAACGACGGGGGTCTTGGACGAGCAGAGCGAGCAGGGCGCGCGGACGGGCCAGGTAAGACGGTTAGCACTAATTCGCTTTACATTTGAGCGATAATTTGCAGCGCCCGGGCCGACGGGGCCGACGAGCCGACAACGGAAGGAAGCGAGTGTAATGGCACACATCCTGACCTGACCCGGGCCTCCCTGGGGGCTCCCTGTCTCTCTCGCACCCCTGGGGGACGTCCCAGGAGTGCGAGAGAGACGGATAGCGACACCGTTCCGGCCCCACACCTGGAGGGCCCGAGCGAGTTCCAGCGCCGATTTCAAAGGGCTCAAATCGGCCCGCTCCAGACACTCCAGACGAAGGACGAAGGTCAGGCTCGTGGCTTGTGTGGTCGAAAACGAAACGCCATTGTAAAGAAAGTCGTAAAGAGGGCGGTACGAGCGAAACGGAGCAAAAAGGGCTCCACTCCGCCTCAGTGCAACTCGACTCGTTTCCTAGAGACGCTCCTTTGAAGGCCTCGCAGCAGCCTGCGCAGCCTGCGGGCACTGCCTGCCCGGCCTGCCCACTCAAGCTCTAATTACCAAAACGAAAACAAAAACCCCAGAGGGATTGATTCTCCTGCTGGCTTTTCGGTGCGGCTCCGAAAATGGATGGAATTCCCTTCGCCTCATTTCCATCTTTAAAAGCCTCCAAGTGCGGGAGCCCGCCACTTTGACTGTTATTCCAGATATTTTTTACCGCCCGCGGCCGCCGCCGCCTCGGCTGTTGAGTCATCTCCGAGTTTCGATACATATCGCGCCTTTCGTGTGACAGCATTTGTCCGGGAGATAGCATCGTGCCATTGGATGGGCCCACGGAGGCAAGTCCTACTCTCATGGGGCCGCCCCGCCGCTGGAGGCTTACTGGAGCCAAGCTGTGCCTGGGGACTGCAGGCACGAGTGCTGGCTGGAAGCTGAATGGGAACACCGTAAATTTTTATCCTGGGGGGAAAATTCTAGAGTTGAGATGTGTCGGCTCTCTTGTGGAGCTCGGGCGAGCAGGTCTCCGGCGCGCTGTCCCGTCCGGCTGCTGGGCCACCCCGGTCTAGGCCCTGGCGGCCCCGCTGCCGTGCCAGGCATGCTGCGTCTTTGTGAATGAAGGATGGAGGGCGTCTGTCACCCGCAGCGCCGCGCCACTGCACGCCACGCCCCAGTGACAGACTGACGTTATCAGTGAGGCTGGGCATCCATCGCAGCGTCGCTCTGTCTCTCTCGCACCGCCATGGCGCGCCACGGGACGGCCCGCCAGTGCGAGAGAGACAGAGAGACGGGCCCTATGAGGACCTGTCCGCCCGGCCTGTTAGGGACATCCGGGCTGCGTGGGCGACAGCCCCGTCCTTGTTCATTTTCATATTCCATGACTCTGTTTCTGTCCGTACGGGGTCGACACCTTCGGGCACCTTCGGGGGCACCTTCGGGGGCACCTTCGGGCACCTTCGGGGGCATCTTCGGGGCACCTTTGGGGGCACCTTCGGGCACCTTCGGGGTCATCTTCGGGCACCTTTGGGGGCACCTTCGGGGTCACCTTCGGGCACCTTTGGGGGCACCTTCGGGCACCTTCGGCACCTTGGGCACCTTCGGGCACCTTCGGGCACCTTCGGGCGCCAGGACTTCCCCGACACGTCAGACACGTCCGGGCACTGAGAACTTGGCGAAGCACGCGCGAAGCTCGCCGAAGGCAGCGGCAACAAACACACGTACGACGTACGCCCCGTGCACCCAAGGCGTTCGTCGGGATGCATTTAATATATTCCCCAGCCGGTCACGTGGCCTCCGCTCCGTGAGACAACGCCCAGCCCGGCTAAGCCCGGCGAAGCCAGCCGGCCGCGTCCGGGGCGGTCCCGCATTCCGGGCAGCTTCGCTCTGCAGAGGTCTGTCTCTCTCGCACTCACGGGGCGTCCCGAAAAGGGAGCGAGAGAGACAGACCGACGAGGGCACCGTTCGGAATCGACCTGCGGGCCGCTCTCTATCGGCAAATAAATTGACGATTCCTCGAACGCAGCCCGGCGGGCTGGCCGGGCCGCTTGCACAACGAGACCCACCGCCCATTGGTCACCCAGTCGCGGCCAGGCGGGGCCGCGCGGGGAAAGGGAAAGAGAACGAAAACGCCTCTCATGACGACTCAATAATCCTCCTTCGGTTTTCGCTCCGTGCACCACTTCGTGCATGTGCAGCCATCCGTGCTCGCTCCGTTTTTCGCGACTGTACAGCTTGTCGCGCACCGCACCGCCTTGTTCTCGGAACGGACTCGGACTCGGCCGAGGGGCAGACTCGGGCGGACTCGGGCGCACGGCGACGGCCGGTTTCCGGCCCTGACAAGTGCCGAGCCCGAGATATGCATCTCTCCCTCACTCGAGAAACACTCCCGTGATTGGCCGAGCGGCCCGCCGCGAGGCACTGCAAGTACTCAATCGGCTCGCGAATCCCAATCCCAATCGGGAGCCGGAGCAGGGCGAGCAGGATTGCGGTTCGTGAGGGCGGAGCGGGCTACTGGAAGGCGAAGGAGAAACATGTCGATGACGAGGATGCAGTCCAGGTACCCTTACTGTGACACCACTGTGACGGGGCGCGTCATCCGTGACCACCAACGCCTCCCCTCCAAAAACAACAACAACAACAACATCGCGCCCTGCATCGCCACTTTTTTCTGCCGCACACCTTTAATAACCGACAAAGAAAGGCCGCGGCCATTAAAACGTCGTCAGTCGGGAATGGTGGCGGCACTGCCATGGACTGCCATGGACTGCCACACTGCCACGGACTGACGCCGCCACGCCGCCACGGGGGATAGGATTGCACTGACCGAAAAGGACAGCCATTAAGGTCGCGGGGGACCCTTGCGCCCCGTCTCTCTCGCACTCGCGGGGCGTCCCGTGCGGGTGCGAGAGAGACAGCATGCGGGGTCGCGGTCTCCTGACCACCGTAACAGTCGCCTCAAACTGCCGGAGTCGTCAAGGCTCGCGCGTTGCCACGCCACATTCCGATCCGTCTCATCCCTCGCTCTGTCTCTCTCGCACTCACGGGGCGTCCCGTACGGGGTCGCGAGAGAGACAGAGCGACGAAAGCGGTCGCACTTTTTGCCAGCTTACCAGGCGGAAAGCACTACAAATTGCCTACCAATCAGGCGTCCGAAGGAAGTTGAGAGTCCAGCCTGGTACCTTGAAACCCCCAGTTCCCGAGTGAGTGCGAGTGTGTGTGTGCGTGTGTGCATTCGGTAGCCGTAAAACCCGACCGCTTTAATTTAATCTCGTCCGCATAACCAATTCCACGCGACAAGCGCTGCGCTGCTCGATATATTTATGAAACTGCGGCTGTCGTGGGCGGGAGGCCCCGTCGGGGTCCTCCAAGCACTACACTGCTCTGTTGAGCCCCGGGGAGGGGCCCCGCGGCGCGGCACGCGGTGCGTAGCAAAGGGGGGCCTCCTTGGTCTTCGCGGCGCCCAGGGCAGCCCAAGGCCCTCCACCGTCGATAACCGTCAAATTATTGTGATAAAGACGAAAGGCGTCTAATCCATGGCATTCCGATGCCATTACCGTGGCCAGCCGAGTGGCCAGCGCGCCGCCAGAGTCGTCCAGTCTCGGGGCGCTCATGTCCGCGCCGGAGAACGCCCCGGCGGAACGCCCCGGTGGAACGCCCCGGTGGAACGCCCCGGTGGAACGCCCCGGTGGAACGCCCCGGTGGAACGCCCTCACGGCCCAGTAACGTATCAGCAGAATGTTGTCTAATGACGCCAAATTCGCGTGTCATACGAAGCGGAGCATGGCATTCAAATTAAAGCCCCCCCCCCCCTGGGTGCATTCCTGAGGCCAGTCGGTGGCGGGGCGGGGCGGGCGGGGCGGGGCGGGTTCGCGACGGGCGCGCGCGCAACATAAGAATAAAGCAGGCCCATTGGCCGGTTGGAGCCGGGATGGCATGGGCGGTGGCCGGGCGGTGTCCTGGCAGGGTCCTGCCACGGGACCGCGGGGGGGTCGTCCTTAATTTACAACATTCCGGAGCCGCGCAGCGCAGCGGCGACCCCCCGCCGCACTGTAACGTCGCGACGGCTCGTCAAATCCATCAATTCTGCTGCCGCTTATATGAAAAAGTAACAACACACAGGGATAAAAAGGGTGTTTTTTCGCCGGGTCTGAAAGCAAAACCAGGATGGGAGCTAATGCTCGCGTTTTTGTCCTGGCTGCCCCGGATTTTTCTTTTGCTTAAGGAATCTCCGTCTTGAAATGTGACTCGCGGTGCGACATGAACAATGCATGCTGGTCTCGACGCTGCAGCGCGGGGCTCCAGGTTCCAGCCGGTGGGCGCCATAGGCAATGCACCACTACACTGGTTCCGCGCACACAGCTTCGTCGCTCTGTCTCTCTCGCACCGCTGCGGGACGCCCCGTGAGTGCGAGCGAGACGGAGCGAGCGGAGTGCCGGCCGAAGTGAAGCCATCAGGCGCTGGCTGGGACGCTGGACCCGGCCAGGTCCACTCCGCCCATGACGACGCTGAGGATCGTGGTCGCCGCGGGCTGCAGCGCCTTCCGTCTCTCTCGCACCCGCCGCCGCGGACGGGCTCTGTCTCTCTCGCACGCCCAGACGGACCAGCTGGATATCCGTCTCGGCGTGGGCGTCTCCGGCATGCGCGGCGCGGCGCCCTTTAGAGGCTTCGACGAGCATCGCCACCTTCAGGGGAATCATTTTGTAAAAACTCTGGAAATTTTAAGAAAAAGACCTGACTTTTTCAAAAACCCGTCGTGAATCGAATTGCGAGCAAATGTAGTGTGTAAACCACGTGAGAGGCAGAGAGAGAGCGCGCGCGCCGCGCATGCTGAAGAGAGAGATAGAGCG